CACCCCGCGGCCCCGCAGCCGGCCCCTTCCCTCCCCGGCCGCCGGGAGCGAGGATGCTGCCTTTTAAAGAAGTTCACTGGTTTGCGTGGCCACGTACGTCCACATTCGTGGTTTTGAGTCCTCAGCAGCCGGTGACCCGGCCAGGCGGAGGTTCTCAACTCCATTTTCCAGCTGTAAGGACTCCGGCTTCAGGCAGCAAAGCGACGTGCCAGTTCTCTGCACAAAAGTGGTGGATCTCACCACACTTAACAAAGGAAACGCGCTTTCCATCTTTGTTGAATTCCTCTCATGCATCCTGATTTATGTCACTTCTGTGCTTGGAAGCCTTCCGAGGTCCCCACGACCTAAGAGTAAAGTTCGGATCGGGCATCGCCCCCTGCAGCTCATTTCCCACAGACAGCCCCTACCCCTTCCACCCCCCTTTTCTTAGCTTTACCTGTTTTCTGGAGATAGCCGTCACCTTTTCTGTTTGCTCTGTTCGGGTTCCCATGCGTGAAGTCCTGCAGTCAGTCGAGGTCCTTGCAAAGTGTCAGGGCTGCCAGGCAGGAACAGACGGGATCTTTTTGCTGGACTTCTCTCATCTCCAGTATTGGGCCAGGGTACTTTACCCTGGGCTTGCTATTGAGAGGTTTCTGCTCTCTTTACTTCGCTTTTTATATCTTTCACATGTTACCCTGCTTTCTGCCAACACTGGATTACTCATTTATTGTAAATGTCTTGTCTAACTGGACTGTCAGCAACTTGAGAAATGGGCCCAAATCTGTTGTCCCCAAACTGTCAGTCACACGTACACAGTGGGCTTTCCATAAATGTGAATAAATGATTCCTGTCTGCCCCCCACCTGGTCGTTGAGAATATCGGAATATTTATTCCAAGCGCTGCAGAAGACCATAGAATCTCCCTTATAGACAGGAGTTACCCTGTACATTAAACTTGGAACAAATCAGATGATTTAGATGAAATGAGTCGTCTGTCATAGTAATCTGTAATCCGCTGGGGTGGTTGAGGAATTTCTAGCAACATTTAAATTTGGATTGAGGTATAATCTGAGTGATTTTTCTGGTTAGGACTTAACTAAAATGTAGCTAAGCCTGATATTTATGGGTCACTAGGAACCATTCAACTCTAAGGTGATGGGAACAGTGTTTCCCCCAATATTGGGGACCATGGTCAAGAAAGTTTGGGGAAACTGTTAACTGTATGCCCCTTTTGGGACATATTGCACATTAACTTATTAAATACTGCCAGGGGTTTTGCATTACAGAAATCAATTGACTGTTTAACCAGCATTTCTTTGATTTTTCTGCCCATTGGACCTGCTTTGGGAATTCCATATGCATTTCGTAGAAGTCAAGGAGGTGCTTTTGAAAATGCAACAGGATGAAAAGAGCAGTAGGGATGAGTGATGAGAGGGCGGCTTCCTTACTGTTTAAGGGGAAGACATTCTGCGCATTCTTCCCTCCTTGCCAAGTGTGTTCATTCCTGCCCCTGGAGGAGTGGAGAAGAGGGGGGCGGGGGAATGCTTTAGGCAGAACTCCCTAGTTTCCTCGTTCTTTCTTAGCTTTTTAAAATAACAAATTGCCTTCACACGAAGTGTTCCTGGAGGAGGGCGATGTCCTGATTGTACTAAAGCAACATCGTTTACTTGGTGATGGTGTTTCTTATGTTGACCACAGCTGGCTTTTCTGACCAATTGTTTCTGCCCCTGTGATGCTGGGGGGCGGGCAAGTGATGAGTTCCTGCAGCCTGTCCCTGTCTCCTTATCCTTTACTCTTGCATCTGCCCACTTCCTTTGTCTCTCTCTGGTCTTTTCCATTTCCTGTCACAACTGTACCTTCTTTGGATGTGATCTGCCCTCTGAGTCCTCTCCGCATTATATGCCTCAGAATGATTTATTACCTGGTGTCCATTTCTTAGACTGTATAAATCTTCTCTATTCCTGTCACACCTGGAAGAGGTTGCTGGCAAAGCATAAGTTGTTATTAAATAACTGAAGAGAGCTACCATTAAATAAAAGATTTTTTAGGTTTTACTGTAACACCTTATCATTGTTGAAGTTATTTCCCTTTATTCTGCTTTTTACAACCAAGAGGAACTATGCTTTCTTGATGATACAGTGTAGTTTTAGCCAGATACTTTCATGGTGAATCATCCTCATCCACGATTGAAATTTTTTTCCCAATTAGGGAAAATTTGTGAGATACCTGCCAGGGTCTGGCAGGGATTTCAGCCAACATTTGGGGCATAGTGTTCTGTTGTTTTTATTAGGTTGACTTTCAAGGTTGTTTGTTGTCAAAGCTTTAAACAAAAGGTACTTTATTTGATGAGCAGTTGCTTTTTAACTCATATTTGACTAAAACCACTCAGTGATCCAAGAAATGTTATGATTCCACATAATAGCATCTCAGAGCCCTACTGACAGAGGGAAACTGAGGCGCATAGCTCAGCTTCATCATAACTAGTAAATGGCAGAACTAGTGTTTGAATCTGGATAATTTCAGATTTGTTAAGATGAATTTGACTTGTAATTTTTCCTTCTCCCAGGTCAAAGAGTAAAATGAAGTACATTCTAGTTACTGGTGGTGTTATATCAGGAATTGGCAAAGGAATCATCGCCAGCAGTGTGGGCACAATACTGAAGTCATGTGGTTTACATGTAACTTCAATTAAAATTGATCCATACATTAACATTGATGCAGGCACATTCTCTCCATATGAGCACGGTAAGAAAAATGCATTTCTTTTTACAAAAAGTAATAATTACATAGTGTGTGGAATGTGAAAGACCTTGAATATTGTGCAAAACTTAACTTCTACTTCCTGCCTTCTACATAGGCCCTCGCATAGCAGAATGATGGTTTTCTTACATGGACAGAGAGGAAACAGATCTTAATATGTAATATAGTGATTTGAATCAAGAGTTTTCTGTATATAGAAATAAAAGAAATGATCTTTTTGGTGACTAAAGAAAATTTGTTACTTTTTTTGTAAACCAAACCTGGTGACTAATAACTTCAAATATTGGAGAAGAGGAAGCTTTTTTTTTAGTGACCTCAAACTTTAGAAAAGGATGGGTGGATAAATGTTCTAAGGAAGTAGATTTTGTCACAATACAAGAATGATCTTTCTAATAGCAAGCACTGTCCCGTGTTGGGGTGACTGATGTTAAGAAGTTTTAGATTCCCTTGGGAGAGACATTCAGACAGGCTAGTAGGTCTCTTTGTTGAATTCAGGCAATAGGTAGATGCTGGGATTAGATGTGTAAGCTGGAGATTGTGTTTTGCTTATACTTTGCATAACATAAATGAATGCCTCTTGAGGTGAATGAAAACTTGAAAACATTAAGGAAGAAAGGGTGGAAAAGTAGTGCTTCTCTACTATTGCCGAGGGCCTGTCATCTATGATGTGTATGTCTGAGTTACTAAATGATTAATTGTACTTAAAATTAGAGGTGGAGGTACTGTTAACACATCCTAGATTTTGAAATTGTTTTCATACTCCTGCTTTCTAATGGTGCGGCAAAAGCTGTAAGGATGAATGTCCTTGGGCCAGAAATCCTTGAGTAATCAACGGCATCAGGAAAAGATTGACACAGCAGAGTCACACGTAATTTGGAATTCTTGAGCAGGGGATGAATGCTTTCTCTGCAGGAAGAAAGGAAGACAATTTTTCCTTTCCTATTTGTGAGCTTGTCTCCTGTTGTGATGGCAGGAATGAGTAAAACTTCTAGAATGTGTTTCAAGAAGTAACTGTCCAGGGATTGGGGCCACTGTGTGGTTCCACACTGATTAGGACTTGAAGTGAGCCCAGAGACTGGTTTTTATAATGAGCACAACCGAGGTGTAGCTATCTTGGTCAAGTTTTGAATAAAATCATACTTTCGAAGCTTTCTCAGTTCCTTTTTGTCAGTAGTAGATCCCTTCCACTCTAAGGTCGCCTCTGTCCACAGCCCTTAAGTCTATAGCTTGGTTCCATTCTGTGAAACGTGTAACTGTTCCATGTAGCTCTTTCAGATTTAGACTGAGTGTGTCGAAAGACTGGAAGTCTGAAATTGGCCTTTGGAGAATGGTTGGTGATTTTTCTTTTGTGACACGTTTTGTTTTCTAGAAGTAAATTTCTCTACTTCCCATCAAGTCAGTGCAGGCTTTTTTCTTGAATTTTTATATTGTGGCTTGAGTTTTGCCTGGCATATGTATTTTTCACTTACCCAGAATGTTCTGAATGTCCCCTGCAGGTGAGGTTTTTGTGCTGGATGATGGAGGGGAAGTTGACCTTGACTTGGGCAACTACGAGCGGTTCCTGGACATTCGCCTCACCAAGGACAATAATCTCACCACTGGGAAGATATACCAGTATGTCATTAACAAGGAACGCAAAGGAGATTACTTGGGGAAAACCGTCCAAGGTAATGCTGGGTTTGCCATCAAGATTTAAGAATCTTAACCAATGAGAAGTGTCAAGATACTGTCAATGAAATATACTTTCGATTGAAAATTCAGAGTTGTAGGGCTGTTTGCTCAGAGAAGGGTTTGGAGAATCCATCGCTCTCTAGGAATGGCACTGAAGCTGTCATCCTGAGCTGATTTGAGTCATGAGTGCTGTGTGAAGAGAGTGCGGTGGTGAAGGCAGCCTGTGTAGCATGCCTGGGACCTGTACAGACAGTGCTGAAGAATCGAACGTCCTGTGTTGGTTTTCAGGCTGGTCATCCGTGCGTGAGGCCTGGGAGCCTGACACACAGGCCTCTGAGTCCGTCATACCCATCAGCACAGCTTTAATTGTATATATTGCTATACTGGTATTGGCTTGAGAAGTGTTCTGCTGCTTTTTAAAAAGATGGGATTAGAAAACTCTTAGTTTAGTAAAATGGCCTAAGTCCAAACTTGGGCCGGAGATTCTGAAAAATGGTTTTTATTTGAGTTATAGGAGTAAATCTGCTTTTGGCTTTAGGCCGACAGCCCAGGGCCAAGCTGACAGCTGGTTCTGGTCTGGGACTTCCCCGGCTAAATTCTGGGCTGATTGGGTCACATGTGTACTGCAGCTCTGCCTCTCAGCAGCTCTGTGAGCATGGCAAGTGATCTACTTCTGAGAGCCGGGTTCCTTTTCTGTAAAGTGGAGATAATAATAGGATCTACCTCTATGGGTTGTTAGGTAGATTAAAGAAGTCATATAAGTAAAATACTCAAGAGTTTTTCTAGTTCCTAACATAAGAAAGGGTCTTGGTTGTGCAGTTTGTATTGAAGGCCGCCAGTGTATTCACTCACTCATGCATTCATTCATCAAATACTAATTGAATGATCTTTGCAGGGGGACCCTCATTGGGGCTGGGAATACATGATGCAAATACCAAGGAGGCCATTATCCTCATGGAGGTTACCTTATGGGAGAGAAAAAAACAAACGGATGCAACTCCATGTTTGATAGAAACTCTGAAGAAAACAAATAGAATGAGGAGAGAGAGTGCTTGGGAAAACATTTGGTCAGGTGGTCAGGGAAAGTCTCTAGGAGAGGACCTCTGAGCTGAGACACCAGTCGTGGAAAGAGCGAGAAGAGGAGGGAGGTGTGCCCTGTGCAGAGGCCCATGGCCACCAAAGACTTGGTCAGAGACCAGAGGCTGTTAGAACAGGCACAGTGATCAAGCCAGTGACCAAAGTGATAGGTGAGGTGGACTGCAAGCAGTCAGGGTATAGAGGGTCTTTTGGGTCTCGGCCTGGAGTTTGGATTTTACTCAGTGCAGTGGGTTTAAACTTTAAGTGTGAACTCTGATTTGCGTTTTTAAAAGATCACTTCAGCTGCTGCTGCCATTGTGTTTCTGTGTGTGCGTCCATATTAGATAATAAATATACATCATTCTGCTTGAGTTACTGCTAGTTGTGTACCTAGTTAAACTAATCTCTGCCCGTAGGAACTTGCCTGCCAAGTCCTATAACTGTGCTTTTAAGAAGTGTTTAGGAGTGGCTGGCTTTTATTGAGCCCCCACATGCGTGGCATGCTGCTTAGATTTCACAGGTGCTAGCTCATAAAATTTCCACAGCTTTATGAAGTAGGAGCTGTTGCAACTCCATTTAACAGATAGGGAGAACTGGCTGAGGAATAGTTATTTCCCAAAGACCTCCTGCTGGTGAGTGGTGGGACTGAGGTTCACTTCAAAGAACCCCTAGGAGCCGGGCTTTAGGTGCTGTGCTGCCCTGTACTGTCTGCAGTGGATGGCCTGCCCTGTGGGAGACCAGAAACACCACAGCACAGGGTCCTGGTGTTCTCTTGTTTCTGGAAAAGCCCTCAGGCGTGAAGTGCCCTCTTTCCGTGTAAACAGTAAGGGGGCCATGGAGTCCACAATGTGGTTGTGCAGCTGTGGGGAACACAGGGCAAGTGTCTGATTGGTGACGTCACCTTTGCCTTACTCTCTTATGCTTCAAGCTAGAGCTTGGAAACTGGAAAGGTGGTTGTGGGACTGTGAGCCCAAGCCTAGTCAGAGCCATTTAAGAGTAGTCTCAGAAACACTTAGGACACCATTGCTACTCTGTGCAGCAAAGAGCACAGTAGTTTGGTCACTGTAGTGAATTTGGTCACTGTAGTGTCTCAACTGATGCTGGCTGAATTGGGTGAGTTACACGTGTCTTTTCTCTTTCCTAGTTGTCCCTCATATCACAGATGCCATCCAGGAGTGGGTGATGAGACAGGCATTGATACCTGTTGATGAAGACGGCCTAGAACCTCAAGTGTGTGTTATTGAGGTTTGTATGTTTCTTTTCCTGAACTCTGTGTCCCTGAGTCTGTGACCAAAGTGTATGTGTTTGCTTGTTGCTCCTTAGCTGTTAAAGATGGTGGATTCAACCTGCCCACTTGTCTATACTACATGGTGAAACCCCACTACAACTTAAAGGGAACGTAAAAAAATCTATATTTATTTATTTATGCATTCAAGAACTGGGGTACCAGCCAGAGGTGCATAGGCAGTGAGAGGATTCACCAGAGACTGAGTGGGGAGCAGAACAGTTAGATCCACAAAGTACACTGCTGAGGGGAGCAGCAGGCGAGACAGGAGAGGTCTGCTGCGCCATGTGGGTCACCTCCGGGGCCAGGATTGAACTTGCACCAAAGTGGCTGCAGCCAGCTTGCAGTGTTGAGTCCTAACCTGTCGCGCCACCACGGAGGGCCTGGGAATTTTTTTTTTTTTTTTTAGAAAAAATTCATAAAGATAAATACTGTGAGACGAGTCAGCAGTAACAAAAATTAGGAAGCCAGAGTGAGAGGATTGTCTACTGACCTAGCAGGCTGGGAGAGCTGGGTCCTCCACCAGCAGCAACTGGTCAGACAGCTGCTGGGGAAGCCCTGGGCCTTGGACTGCACTGCGGCAGGGGAGGGCATGGCAGGGCCCCTGAGAGCGACACTCTGTCCTATTAGCGTTTATGCGTGCACCTACTGTGACCCACCAGTGAGAGTGGCACGGCATGCTCTCCTCCACTTTCAAGAGAGTTGGCTGGGTTTCGCTGTCCTTTGGCAGGAACAAGAGCAAGGAGAGAGGTTCTGCTCTTCTGCTCTTGGGGCCTTGCCGTTCTAGGAAGAACGGGGACTTAAGTTTCGACAGCTTGTTTATAACTGATATTTTATCCCGAAGTTGTTTATGGTTAGTAGAGGAGATAAAGGAGATAAGATTTAGATTTTTTTTTTTGCCTTGTGGTGCTAATACAAATAAAATTTAGCCTTTTAATTGATCTTTTTCTTGAAAGAATGGGTAAAAATCCACTGATAACCTTGAGGCGTGGTGAGCCTGTTCAAAAAAAGTAACATTTTGGCTGTCCCTGGTGGTGGCGCAAGGGTTAGGATGCAGCACTGCAAGCTGGCCTTAGCCACTTCAGTGCAAGTTCAATCTCCAGCCCCGGAGGTGACCCACATGGCGTAGCAGACCTCTCCTGACCCGCCCATTGCTCCCCACTTTGTCTCTGGTGAATCCTCTCACTGCCCCTGAACCTCTGGCCTGTACCCCATTTCTGTATGCATAAATGAGTGGATCTTTTCTTTAAAAAAAAAGGTAACATTTTGGCACAGAAGAATACCTAATGACTATTAACTGCTATTTAGCTATTGACTGTTATTTAACATTGTTAATTGACATTTGTTAGATCCAGTGAGTCCACATTATGCAGTTACTGATCACTGAATTGAGGTGACGGTACATTTGTTAGAAAACTAAACCACAAAAGAAGGGTTCAGTGTTCCTGTTAGCATTTATGCCTCTAAAATGACTTTGTTCTTCTAGCTTGGTGGAACAGTAGGCGATATAGAAAGCATGCCCTTTATCGAGGCCTTCCGTCAGTTCCAATTCAAGGTCAAAAGAGAGAACTTCTGTAATATTCACGTCAGTCTAGTTCCTCAGGTAAGGCATTTAAAATTTTATTTTGGGGGATTGGAGAGGAGGGCGAATAGGTTGATTTTTCTCTCTGTATCTGTTTTAAATACTTGAGGTACAGAGAACAGGGAATAAAGAACTTTAAGTAATTACTACCATACCTTTTCAAAAAGCATTTTTGAAAAGGTGAAATGGAGAACATATGGATAGTTGGTCAGGACAAATTGCAATTAAAGATGGTGGCTTGAACCTGCCAATTTGTCTGTACAACATGGTGAAACTCCATGTTTACACTGCAATTTAGAGTAAAGGGATTTTTTTTTTAAGAACAAATTTATAAACATAAATACTGTGAAGAGTCATCAGTAACAAAAATTAGGAAGCCAGAAGGAGATGAATGTCTACTGACTCAGGAGGCTGGGAGACCTGGGTCCTCAGCCCATAGCAAGGATCCCCAAAGGTCCAGGCATAGCAGCATCAGGGACTTCCATCAGTGGGATGGAGGGAGCTGCTGTTTCAGAGCAGTTAGACCCCACTACCTCCTTCCCTCTCCCTCTCCTCAGCCCCTCTCCCACTGGGACAGAGACTGAGGACTTTCTCTCTGGAGAAGGTTTGCAGATGAGTCGACACCAAGGACAGTTGAGAATGGCATAGCTGAACTAAAAACATGGGGGTGGATACAGCTTTTTGCTCAGACCCCACTTTTTCTCACTTGGTACCCAAAATCATCACAGCCAGGCTTGGGCCTTCCATATAGGAGATTGTAGGGCCCTTTGGGGGGTCTGGAGGGTAAATGACTAGCCCAGGAGAAAATAATGCCCTTGAGACTTCCCAGTGAAACAGACTGGCCAGATGGCCAGTGTGAGGACCCTGGGGTGTAGACTGCCAATTCACAGAATTTTCAGTCAGCTTTTAAATATGAGCTGGTAGCCAGTGGTCACTAGACACGGGAAGAAAACATCTAAAGTGCAAGAGAAAACACAACCAAAAAATAAGCTGAACTTCTGGAGGGAGGAGGAAACTAAAAAAAGGAAACAAAGCAACTTTGTTAATATTCCCAGAATTAAGAGGAGAAAAACTGCATCTATTAAATTAGAATTGGGGCCCTCCCTGGTGGCGCAGCGGGTTAAGGCACTGCACTGAGAAGCTAAAGCCACTTCCGCATGAGTTCGATTCCCGCCTGCCCCGGAGGTGACCACATGGTGTGGCAGACCTCTCCTGACCCGCCCGCTGCTCCCCTCAGCAGTGTACTTCATCAATATGCCTGTTCTGCTCCCCACTGTCTCTGGTGAATCCTCTCACTGCCCCTGAGCCTCTGGCCTGTACCCCAGTTCTGTATGTATAAATAAATAAATCTTAAAAAAAAATAAATAAATAAAAAAATAAATTAGAACTGGATACTCTTTTAAGACCAGAGCATTCAGAAAACAGTAGAGAATTATTGGAAATTAAACACTGGATAGCAGAAATGAGAAGTTAAGAGAAAGAAGGTTGAGGAAATAGCCCAGGAAGTAGGACCTTAAGATCAACAGGCAGGAAATGGGCCAGAAAAGCTAAAATTAGAGGATTGCTTTATAGTTTTAACATCCAAAATAATAGGATTTACAGAAAATAAGAACAGAGTATTGAGAAGGAAATGTAATCTGAACCAGAGATCAGCAAACTGCACCCTGACCCAAGTTGATGCACCCAATCTTTGAAAATGAAGCATGGAAACACAGCATAACCCCTTTATTTAGTTTCAAGGTTCTTTTGCATTGAAACAGCAGTGGAGTAGTTTGACATTGACTATAAAACCTAAAATGTTTATTAACTAGCTCTTTATAGAAAAAGTTTTCTGACCGCTGGTCTAAAACAGATCAAGGAAATTTTCAACCATGAGTTTCTATATATTGAAAGAACGTGGTGAATTAATTGGAAAATGACCCATACCATGGCCTGTCAGTGTGATAATTAAGAAAAACGGGCAGAAATTCTAAAATGCTCGGGGGGAAAGAATCAGTGTCATATTGTTAAACTCAACAGCAGTGCTAAAGCTACAGAAGTAAAGCTGTTTCCTTAAAAATTTGTAGGGAAAATGCCATCTATTCTAGAATTCTGTACCCAGAAAATCTGTTAGTCTGAGAAGAGAGTTAACATAGTTCAGGATATAGAAAACCCAGCATACCAGAGAAATGGAACCACCAAGGAAAACAAATAATTGGACCAAGAACGAAAAGTATGGTACATGGTTGAGCCACAGACACTACTTAAATACTGAGGTGTGAACACCGAAGAGAGGCCCCCACATGGGTGTTGCGGGAACAGAGGGTTCACGCATAGTAGAGGGTCTAACAAGTTGATGGAAAGTACCTCAAAGTCTTGTGTCAAAAGGTAGCGATACACAGCAGAAGGTTCAACTAACAGTGGAACCCTCGCTCTTGAGGCCTTGGGAAAGGGGAGGGGCAGGTGCGGACAGGGCTCTGCTGTTCTTTAGCGTAAGCTGGAGAAACTATAAGGACATGTAACTTTGCCATAATTAAAAACTAAGTTCCATGCATGATCCCGTTCTCTATTTCCTTAAGAGGAGCTCAGGGAAAAGTCATACTTGAAAATACCTCATCACAGAGCAATTACCTTGTGTTTTCTTTTGTAAAATAGCCAAGTTCAACAGGGGAACAGAAGACTAAACCCACTCAGAACAGTGTTCGGGAACTCCGGGGGCTCGGGCTTTCCCCAGATCTGGTAAGGCTTCCTGGTTCCAGCATGTTCTTGCATGTCTGATTAAGATCTCTCCCTCTTGGCAAGCGAGGCCTTGTTTTCTGGAGTGCTCTGAGTGATCTTTGATGATGGAAAACTTACAGGTTTAGCGCTTTGACCTGGGGCTGTGGTTTACAAAGACTTTGACACGGCCTGTGTGAGGTCCTGTCTTCTCTCAGCCCTTCATTTATTCCCTTCCCCCTACCCAGGAACATCAGTGAGAAAAACCCCTCTCAGCTCTTTAATTCATTGGTACTACCATTCTCTTGTGTTTCACAAACTTGGGATTCAGGAATTTTAGTTTGGAAAATAATCCTTCCATCATTTGCATGCATCGTACTAGGGTGTGCTAACAATGTAATGCCTATGGACATAAACCCAGCTTTGTAATCCCTTCTTTTTATCTAAACATCTTATTTTCTTTGCTGCTAGGTTGTCTGCAGGTGTTCAAATCCTCTTGACACAGCAGTGAAAGAGAAAATATCCATGTTCTGCCATGTTGAACCTGAGCAAGTAGGTAGAAATTTCCTCTTCACACAAGTATTTATTTATATGTATGTGTGTGTTTGTATGCTTCTAATTATCCTAAAGTCTCTTAACCAGTTTCATGAGGCTTCTTGAAACTGTGCCCTGGAAGAATTGTTACCTGCTTGGTTCTCCAAGGCCTCTGGCTCCCCAAAACATATTTCACCTCTCCTGCCTCCTTCTGCCTCCTTGTTCTGTGTGCTCCATACTGAGCCCCACCCTCTTCCTGTTGGCCTGGGGATCTCTTCCCCATTTCATCCCTCAGTGCTAGCCTGGACACAGTACTGTCTGAGGAATCATTTCATCCTTAGATCTTCTTCGAGGTAAATCTTCTCTTGGGCCACTGTGTGCTGTGGTGAGCCTCTCATGTGACTGTGTGTGTGTGTGTGTGAGAGAGAGAGACAGACAGACAGACAGACAGACAGACAGACAGACAGACAGTGCACACACATGCTTTTCCCCCCAATTAAAGTTGAGCTGCTTTGGGCCACGGACCATTTTATTCAGTTTTGTGTACATGCCTCTAAGCTTTCCAAGGTGTTGACTGCAGTCAACAGTAATACTTTGGTCTTTCAGCTGATTGTGCTAATGGGAGGGTTCCTTTGGTAAAGGAAATTAAAAATTTCTGTGTATATCGAAGTGCAGAGCATAGTATGGAAATTCTAGTGGTGATAAGTTAAGATCGAGGCTTCCATCAGAATTGACTGAGAAGAGTAGAAGGGAAGGTGAGGTCAAGGAAATTACTAGGTTAGGAATTTATGATTAAGTTTGTTTTACTACTGGGATTATTTGAAGAAGAGAGTTAGAAGTCCCAGCTGGTTTAGAGAGTGGTCAGTGAAGCAGCTGGGTTAAAATAATAGGAATCCATTTAAGATTACTAGGAGTATGGAAGTGAATGTTAGGGAAAAAATTAAAGTCATTGGCGTGGCACTGAAGGGAATAGAGAGGAGAGCCTTTGGCCAATAAAGACAGCAGTTCTGGGGCCCTGGTAGCACAGAAGATTAAAACCTAGCACTACAAAGCTGTCTGCAGCCACTGCACGAGGAGTTCGATCCCTGGCCAGGAAGCTGACCCACGTGGTGCAGTGGACCTCTCCTGTCCTGTCCGCTGCTCCCCTCAGCTGTGTGTTTCCGTCGATTTGCCTGTTCTACTCCCCACTCTGGTGAATCCTCTCACCTCCTGCATCTCCCAGCTCTTGTATACCTACATAAATCAATCTTTAAAAAAAAAAAAAATACAGCTTTTCTCTCTAGATGGTTAAGCATCAGGCTGTGAATGTAGATTGGGGCCTGAGGTCAGTGTTTTTGGGTGTTTCTTATGCCCTGAGTTCTGTCAAAGGGATTCTGCTTCATACTGAATATATGGACCTTCAGAATAATTTCATTGTTAAGAACAGCCTTTTTTTTTTTTTAATCATGCTTTGTCTTAGAATAGGATATCATTAAATATACTCACTATTAAAAATGTGTTAAGTATGTCTATATTTAAATTTGAATTTCAAATTTACCAAATTTTAAATGAGTCGTTTATCATAGCTGAATTTTAAGTTCTTTATTCTGAATCTGATTCTTTTATCAGATGTGACTTGCAATTATTCTCTTTATCTTTTCATTTTCTTAAGGGTGTCTTTTGGAGCAGAGGAGCTTTTACATTTTGATGAATGTCTATCCCCTTTTCTTTATAGATTTTGATTAATGGCATAGCCAAGAACTTTTTAATGAAAGTGATGTGAAGATTTTCTTGTAGAGGTTTAGATGTTACATTTAGGTCAAGGATCCATTTTGTTATGTGTTGTGTGAGGGAAGGGTTGAAATTCACCTGTATTGGTTGAAATGCTCTCCTTCAGTAATACTCTTTATAAAGCAACTTTTAGATGTATTGTCTTTGTAAAAATTTTCAGATTTGTTACTGTATGAATGGCATATTAAAAACTATTTAATGATTACATATGGCCTTTTCTAAGTTACATAAGTAACTTTTCTAAAATTGTTAGTTCTGATAGTTTAACTAAATTTTGTTGGTTTTTAATAGCTAAGCAATAATAATACATGCAATTAGTGCCAGTTCTTATTTTTTAATACATAGATATATATTTTACTCACTAATTGTAATGGCTAATATACTTAATATATTATTGAATACAAGGAATAACGGCCAGTTTTACTTTGCTCCAGGACTTAAATATTAATGTAAATCATTAATTGGCTGTCCTAGTCTTGCTTTGATTTTGGTGATTTATATGTATTTCAGATGATCACCCTTTTTTCTGTTTGCACATCTAACACGTTTTTCCTGGGTCATACAGCTAGCAGAAGGCTGTTGGCATAGTTAGTTTTATTAGTAACCTTTGCTCCTTTTTAAACAGGTGATCTGTGTCCATGATGTCTCGTCTATCTACCGAGTCCCCTTGTTGTTAGAGGAGCAGGGGGTTGTGGATTATTTTCTTCGAAGACTTGATCTCCCTATTGAGAGGCAGTCACGAAAAATGCTGATGAAGTGGAAAGAGATGGCGGACAGGTTGGCTTGGAGTTCCGTACTTTTCTCTCTTTTTTGTAGGAGTACAAGGAATTCAACTCTTACTTTAGTTCTTGTGCCATCAGCTCATGTTAGAGAAGGTCTTAATGGTAAGAGATGTTACAAAAGGACCTTTGCCATCATGTGGCATCTTGGCTGAGGAGTCCTGGTAGAGTGGGCCCAGTGCCAGGCCTGCAGTGACACCTGCACTCTTGTCTAGCCAAGGAAATCAACTCCCACAGGCGCTCCAGTGGCTCACATGAATGGTTGGTTGTGGAGCATTTCAAGGCAGTGTCCAGTTATCTGAGCTTTATGGGGGAACATAGCCCTCATCCCACACCAGGAAAGAAATAGCAAGGATGTCCAAGAATTTTCTTTCATATTGCTGCTACCAGTTGTGATCACTTTGAGAACTGTCCTGTTCTGCTTTCTTCCCTTCACATCATGCAGCACCCAGAGCTGGTGTGCCTGCTGTAGCTGCAGTTACTATGATAAAAGGGAGGTTTGGCAGGGAGCACCCATGCCATTGCTCTGTGATACTTTCATTCTGACATTTCCCTTCTGTCTTTGTCCACTTACATGAATATATTTTTTTAAAAATTAATTAAATTAATTAATTAAGCAAAAAACGGGGGGGAACCCAAAAGGAATGGGGGGGGAAGGGGATTCATGAGAGACAGAGTAGGGAGCATAACAGGCAGCTCAACTGAAATATGCTGCTGAGGGGAGCAGCTTGTGAGACAGGAGAGGTCTGCTGCACCATGTGGGTCAGCTCTCTGACCGGGGATCGAACTCATGCCACAATGGCTGCCGATAGCTTGAGAGCACTGAGACTTATCCCTGAACCACCAGGGAGGCCGTACATGAATATTTATGTAGCTACAACTTTATGATCTTTTTAAATAAAATACCATGAACATTTTAACTGTTCCTAATTGTACTTTAAAATGAAAAGTTATGATGAGTATGGATTATTTCACCATTCATTTACTTGACAATTCCTTCATTGCATTAACTTCTGTGAATTTTTCATTTATGTCAGTTTTTTTGCCCTGTGGGATTTAATTTTTTTTTTTTTTTAGACATTTTGGGTAAGATTTTGAAGCCTACTTTTTGTAAGAGCTTCTACAATTCTAATTTGCTTTACAAAGGCTGCCATGTTGGCTTGGACATTGTTTCCTCTTTTTTGTCCTATACATGGGACTCAGATAATAGTTTATCCCATTATATCCTTCCCAAGCTTGTTTTTCTTCCCTTCGAAAAGCAATTTTGATCTCTTGGTATTTATGTTCTAAGTAATTTGGTGTTTATTGACCTTTGATAGATATGATCGCTTGCTGGAGACCTGCTCTATTGCCCTCGTGGGCAAATATACCAAATTCTCAGACTCCTACGCCTCTGTTATTAAAGCTTTGGAGCACTCTGCACTAGCCATCAACCACAAATTGGAAATCAAGGTGAGGGGTGGTGCAGACATGGGGGGGCACGCACAGGGAGGACACCTGTTCCTGCAGGTGCTGCATGTGTGTCAGCTTTATGTCTGTGGAGCTCGGGGTTGCTTTGTGTTGAGCTGGGTCAGAACTGACAGCCCTGTGCAGCTGTTCTCGTCACTGGTGCCAATCTCCCTTGTCTCCAGGAATTTCTCAGTGTACTGGTGCATGTATTTTGTGCAGGTGAACAGCTTCCTCTGGAATGACTACTATATGTGTTTTAAGACTTACAGGATCTCATATACTGCTCTGACTTAAATTTTGCTAGTTCTTTGATCATTTTTTTTACCCATGTGGAGATAGTCTGTGCTTTTCATGTACTAGGTGGTAGCCATTGTAAGATGAATAAAAAGATGCTGAGGTCTCAGATATAAAGGGGATATACAGAACAGCGGGTGGGCCTGCCATAGTAGACACATAAGCAGGACAGACTTCCTTAAGGAGGGGCCCCGGAGGGGAGATGGGTAAGGCAGAGATAAGGCCATTCCAGCAGAAGGCAGAAATACTCGGGCTTGCAACTGGAAAAGCTGAGAATTGAGCAGAGGGAACATGAACTGGAGGATGTCTGGAGACAGGCTGGGGAAGGCCCAGTCATCAGCCAGTGGGCCGAACCTGGCACTTATCTGGGACCTCAGGGAAGTCATGGCAGGAAATAATAGGTAGGAAGGAACAGAAAAAGGTGAACAGCCTGATACAAAACAGGCAGATTTGCATGGATACTTCCATAAGAGATGCCTGGCAAGATGGTTAACACCATCTCTTGTGAGGGAAACAAATGCAAATGTAGTCACAGTGGGTTAGCACCAGGTGCTCCTTACAGTGACTGGAAACACAGGTGAAGATGGGGCACTCTCACCCACGGGGGAGATGCTCATGGTGTGATCACCCTGGCACGGGTTCAGTGCAAGAAAGTGAAGATGAATGTCCACGAAAGTGTTTTTATACAATGAATCCATTGTTCATATAAACAAATCTGGAAACAACCCAAGGGTCTAGAAGGAGCCAGTGGATAGACACACTGTGGCATAATCCTTCAGTGAAGACTGTTCAATAATGAAGAGCAGCAAAGCAGTGTGGGTGAAACTTGAAACCATTCTACCAAGCAGAAGCCCAACATGAAGGCTGCATGTTATTTCATTCCATTTATGGATACTCTAGGAAAGGCAGAACCTGTGAAAATAGAAACTAGAACTGACATTGTTCCACAGTAGAGGGGGACACGACTGTTCCGGAGGGTGTTTGTTTTTGTATCTTGATTGAGATGGGGGTTCACACCTTTGTGTGTTTGGCAGGATTCATCAGGTGTTTGCTCAAAGTGCATGCATTTGAGTGTATGTGAGTTACAAGATGAAAACCTGTCTGTGTGGAAGACAGTCTGGGAGGCTTAGAGTCCAGCCCCCTGGGGCTTGGCTGAGACAAGGTCTTGGAGTGGCGAGGGGCCAGGTTTGGGAGTGACATGATTTTGAAGGAAACTCATGTGTTTTAAAACACGAGAAAGATCTTAAAGTTTCTATTTAAAATGTTAGGTTTTCATGTACAGAGAGTGCTCTTTTAGAACTTTAAAATGGAGAATGATGGAACGTAATGTTATTTGGAAAGATGAAAGAACGTGGCTCTGGAGTTATGAGTTGCTCCCTCCCTTCCTCTCTGCCCCCCAGTACATAGACTCCACGGACCTGGAGCCCAGCACCTTGCAGGAGGAGCCTGTGCGCTACCACGAAGCCTGGCAGAAGCTCTGCAGTGCCAAGTGAGTAGGGCTCCTGGCCCTTGTTTTCTGGGGTTTGGGTAGTTTCAGTGAGCAAGATGCTGTGTTTTCATGACCTACTCTTAATCAGCAATTTGTTTTACTGAGGTAATGTTGGCTTATGGCACCGCGTGGTTTTCAGGTTTACAGCTTTCTGCTTGAACATCTGTATGGACTGCGTTGTGACCGCCTTGTCTAGTTTTCCTCTACCACCCTACAGTGGACCCCCATCTTTTAGTTATTGAAGGCTACATCCTGTATGACTTAGGCTCTTGAAAATACAACATAGCAACATAGTTGAATCTGAAGAAAATGTGTTCTGATAGTGTTGCTTGTATGCATCTATTGATGAAACTTACTTAGTGATGTTTCGGCCAGAACATTTGATGATACCCACCAGTGCAGTCTCACAAAGAGTTTGTTTGGGGCCAGCTATTACTTATAATAGTCAAAAAATAGCAAGAATTTTGAGTTCACTAGAACAGCGGAAGGTGATGGAACCACACAGCTAACATTGAGACTCGGTCGGTGCAGCCCTGTGCTGACAAGGAAACACAGTCTTCCTACTTGGGTACTTTCAGCCAAGGTATAAACAAATAGTGTATTACTCTGTGAAAAATCAAGGAATCATTCACACCTGGACATATTCCAGTAGTAGCAGTATGACTGTTCAGTCTGCCCGCATGCTGCCTTCGCAGAACAGGCAGACTGACGAAGCACACTGCTGAGGGGAGCAGCGGGTGAGACAGGAGAGGTCTGCCGCGCCATGTGGGTCAGCTCCCTCGCTGGGGATCAAACTTGTGCTGCGTAGCTGTGGAAGGCTTCATAAGTCCTGAGACTTAACCCCTTGCACCACTAGGGAGGGCCTTTTGTGTATTTTTGAGACTCATTGTGCTGAAGCTAGCCAGTCACAGACCCAGAAGCACTGGCCGGGGAGGAACTGCATAATCTCTTGGTGCTGGCCCCTCAGGTGGTGGTTGTGAGCTGGACTGGTGGGAAGGGGCTGCTGTGCTGTGTTCTCTTGTCCCCTAGTGGCGTGCTGGTTCCAGGAGGATTTGGTGTTCGAGGAACAGAAGGTAAAATCCAAGCAATCGCCTGGGCTCGGAAACAGAAGAAGCCTTTTTTGGGTAAGGAGTAGGATAAAGCAAGAAAAGACGTCATCTTTCTAGACAACAGCTCAAGCAGAACTCAAATGGTTCTATTTGGAAGAAAAACAAACTTTAAAATGAAAAGTTTAAGCTTGTGTGTGTGCATTCCATGGTGGTTCTCTCCTGGCATTCTGAGAGAATGAAAGGATGTTAGGAAACCGTGCCATTGACTAAACCCAGCTGTTTGACAGGACATGTGAGGTTGGCTTAATGTCTGCTTCTTGGCACTGTGATTGGATAAAGTGAGTTTGGATGCTTGGTAATGTGCATTTAATTTTCACCTTGATCAGTTATAACTGGAAAATTAATGAGAAGGCAAGAAAACGTATTTTCAAGTACTGGGTAGAATATTCCTTATTTCTAAAATTGGATACCTTCTAAAATCTGGAACTTTCATATACACTTAGACCCAGTTTTTGAATCTGATACAGATAAAGCGTAACAGCAGAGATGCTTCTTCACAGCAGGAAATCATGAGTTTGTGGCATGAAGCCCATGGCAGGCTGGTGGTGGGTGGGCATGTCACCTTTTCGTCGGAGCTTCATTTCTTTCTTCCTTCACCTGCAAGGTGTGTGCTTAGGAATGCAGCTGGCGGTGGTTGAATTTTCAAGAAACGTTCTGGGATGGCAAGGTAAGGCCCAAGAAGAAGTCTGTTCTTTACTGTTTTCTGGAGGTGTGAAGTCTGGTGGAGGTTGGCGACCAGGAGCTGTGGCACTGCGGAGATGGGCTGGCTGCTGCACACAAGGGGAAACATTAGTTTGTTGAGAGGAAACAGGGCTCCTGCTTCCTCCTGGAAGGGGGAACACAGTTTGCCACGTGCCTCGGCTCTAGGGCTCCTGCCACTTCCTTCCCTGAGGTTGCCGTCCCTGAGCCTCTGGTTTGTGAGGCCGTGTCGGTCCTGTGAACTTGGGCTCTGGTGTGGCCAGACCTAGGCCCAGATTCTGAATTTTTCACATAGTATGGTTGATTTTAGACAGATTACTTAGCCCTCTGGGCCTCCCCTTCTCTGGCAGAGGGGGTGGTGATAATGTTACCTACTTTATTTGGTTGTAAGAATTGATGCATGACAGCAGTCCCAGCGCAGTGCCTGGCAAACAGGAAATTCTCAGTAGTTCTAGTTCTGTGCCCAGCTGTTGCTTTGTACCCCACTAGGCCACCCCAAAACTGAGTGGCTTCCAGCAGCAGTTTATTATTTTCCGCACTGTGTGCGTCAGGTGGACTTGGGCTGGTTCTCTGAGCCATGTGATGCATCTGAGCTCACCCTGCCTGCCACTGGGCTCTGCTCGGCAGGGTCCCCGCGGGACTGCTCGTCACCAACTGACCCAGCCCAGTCTCCTCAGTGTGCTAACTCCAGCTCCTAAGATTGTGAGCCCACTGTGCAAGCTTTTCTCCAACTTGTTATAACATCATGTGGCTACACAAAGTGAACCCTGGAGATGCAAGGCTCTGGGGCTAACAGCTCTTCAGTCTCTGTCAACATGAGAAGTCCAGCTGACAAATGCTGGATTTTCACAAGACCTTAGAAGTTATAAGAAAAATAAACACAGGATGCTGAAGGAATGTGAAAGCAGTCTGACTTGAGGAAGTCAGACTTGAGCTTGAGCAGCTCTTGGGCACTTGCTGTTGGGGGTGGGTTCTACTCACTTCTTCTGAGAGGCTGCTTTCACAAGCACCCAAGGGGGTAGCAGCTCTGTCGTGGCAGCAGCCTATAGTCTGACTCTTGAGCTCCTGTGGGGGTGTCTGACCATCCACCCCCTCAGAAGAGCCCTCTGGATACCTGGGACCCTTCCCATGGCCCTGACCAGCCACCCACTCGGGTTGCAGCGGGCGAGTGGCCTGGTGATGCGCTCACCCGCAGCTGTGTAGGTCCGGGGAGGGGGCCAGCACCTGGCACATTGGTGTGGAAAGAATGAGACGCACAGTGCCAGGAACTGGGTTCTTTTCCTTTTAGTTTTGCTGGTGGTGGGAAAGTGAAATTCAATGAAGGATGAACATGTTACTTAAGCTTTAAAATCAGTTTCTGGTTTGGTTGTTGAAGGAACTGAGTAGGACAACGTATAAGATGTTGTCACTAACACTAGTATTTTGATTTTTCAGATGCCAATTCTACAGAGTTTGATCCAAAGACCAGCCACCCTGTGGTGAGTCGGGGTCTGGCCCTCTGCAGGGTCAGAAGGGCCTGGAAGGGCTGCTTTACAGAAAGAATAGATGGTCAGAGACAGGACCGGGGCCTTGGGGAGCCCGGGTGCCTGCATTCGTGCACCCCTGCAGGATTAAGAACCCATGTAGTTTTTTCCCTGTACTTTCTCAGTGCTCTTGCCAGTTTGTTACAGAAAGCTTGAAATACAGGCACCACCGCAGCCAAATAGGGTGTTAAGGTAAATCTCCATCCCTGCTTCCCAGATTGAAGACGCACTCACAAAGGTATTTACTGCATCCAGACAATGTTCTCACAACTTTAAATACGTTAACTCATTAGACCCAGCCAGCTTGGGAGACAGGTATATTATTAAAGAGCTACTTCTGATTTCCGTAATGGTAACCAAGACTTTTTGAGGCCGACAGACCAGTATCATATTATGTCTCCTCTGTCAGATACATGTGGCTCATGGGAGAACCAGTGCCTTTATTCGTCTTTGAATCCTCAGCCCAGTACTGAGACAAGCCTCTTGTCAGTACTGAGGACACCGAGAAATGGGACATACAGGACTCTGGTCTCAGGCACTTCAACAACATCAGTATTTGCTGACCTGAAATAAGACTTCAGAAGAGCCAAGATTTTGAGGCATGGAGCCTCGGGTGGGAGAGGAGACACAGAGAAAAGTACTCCATGTCAGAAGGTGCTCGGGTAGCAGGAACTGAGGCTGGGCTTGCATGGCCTCGGCCTCTGTTTCCCAGACGTTTGCTGAGTTTCTCCTAGGACAGGGCGACCCTAGACAAGCAGCTCCTCAGTCTAGCAGAGGGGATGTGTTAGGATATCCCATCTGCACCCACGCTGCTGTGTCAGCCTGTCAGAACATGCTCCAGACAGCAGCACTCAGCATCCTGCTGGGTGGGGGCAGGATGAGTCAGGAGGCAGAGACCCTGCCTCACCCTGCAGCCACGAGGACAGTCTGCAGACTTAAGCGCTGTCCCACAAAAGTGTGAAAATGCTCACTGGGAGGCATTTTCCCCTGTGCCAAAACATCTCTTAACAGGAAAGACTGGGCATCGGGACCTGCTCAGGCTCACTCTGGGTAGGTGGTCTGTCTCCTAAGGGAAACACTGTGTTTAAACATCTTCAGGTAATCGACATGCCAGAACACAATCCTGGGCAGATGGGTGGAACCATGAGGCTGGGCAAGAGGAGAACCCTGTTCCAGACCAAGAACTCAGTCATGAGTAAGAGCTGCCTTCTGGTCCGAGTCTTGGGGCTCAGGAGACCCTTTTTTGAGGCTGGCTTTTTTGTTCTTGCTTTTTATGTCTTTTCATCCCTTTCTAGTCCTGACTTTTTGAGATGCACTAATGGTCTTAGAAGCAGTCTGGGTCTTAGAAAGGCCACAGGCTGTCAGGGATTAGGGGCCTTGGGTGTGGATGACTCCTGAGAATGAGGTAGCAAGGTGAGGTCCACATGGTTTGTAACCTTTCCACAGTATTGGGGCAGGGTGTGAGTCCTTACAACTCTAGTTTCTGTGAATTTGGGGCCTCACCTGACAGCTATGAATTTTCAAAGGCAGCTCTTACTCACGAGTGGCTGCCTGGTGCCAAGGAGCTTTGGTGACCAGGACCCAGCTGCATGGTGCTGACCCTGCAGCCCGAGGGGCCTCCATGTGGCTCTAAATTTCTCTTAGCACAGGGCCGGGCTCTGTGCACCTTGATTTGTTGTCTGAGGTGGTTCTAGCAGAAAAGTACCTTGTGTCTCAGTGATCACATGAGGGTGGTGGGCAAGGTCTGTTTTGATTCCATTTTTCTTGGTGTGATCACAAAAGTACAAGCCTGTTTGGGCCAAGCCTCTTCCAAGCAGGCGGCTGTTTGCCAGGTGAATCATGGGAATAATCAGGAGGCCGGACTACGTAGGGGAGACGAGTCAAGCAGGCAGTAGAGGTCAGGCCAGAATTCTTTACACAAGTCTACTCTTCTTGCAGGGAAACTCTATGGAGATCCAGATTACCTGGAGGAGAGGCACCGCCACAGGTTTGAGGTGAGGATTGAGCTCTGTGACCTTTAGATGTCTCTCTTCTGTTGCTCTGGAAACACTACACTGGGAAGCCAGCAAAGTTACTTTTCATGCTTTAACAGGTGAATCCAGTCTTGAAAAAGTGTTTGGAAGAACAAGGTTTAAAATTTGTTGGCCAAGATGTTGAAGGAGAGAGAATGGAAATTGTGGAGCTGGAAGGTAATTAATTACTTGGACAGTTGTTTTTGGAAAACTTAGTGAGGTGTTCTTGGCTTGCGGGGACATATAAAAACGGAAGGAAGCAGCCCTGTCTTGGAGGGTGGGGCCTTGGTGACAGGTGCCTGGCACCTACGGAGCTTGCCCTGTGTCCCCTGCCTGCCTCCGCAGCCAGCTCACCTCTGGCCTCAGTGCCTCCTCCGAGTAAGAGCTGCACCAGATCTCCCCTTCTGATGTAACGTGACCTGAGTGACCCAACCCCACAGAACTGGGGAGCAGGGGCAGGAGCCTGAGAGAAGCCCCCTTTGGCTAGGAGGGTGACTGCGTGCCGGCAAGGTATCAGTCTTACATGCTCTCAGGGTAACTTTCCCCAGGTTCTGATTTGAGAAGCTACTTTCAAATAATTTTAGGTCTGTAGAAATGTGACACATCTAGCCAGGCTCCTTTCATGTCTACATAATGAGACCATTTCTTTGGCATTTCTGTTCCAGATCATCCCTTTTTTGTGGGAGTTCAGTACCACCCTGAGTTCCTGTCCAGACCGATCAAGCCTTCCCCACCATACTTCGGCCTCCTCCTGGCCTCCGTGGGGCGGCTCCCGCATTACCTCCAGAAAGGCTGCAGGCTCTCGCCCAGGTAGGGTCACGGTCACTCTTCACTCCTTGGGAGGTCACTGCTTACCACAGCGGCCAGTGCTCAGCAGAACACAGGCAGCTGGGCGCCTTGTCGGGAGCCCTTGCACGGACCTGCCAGTGTCCTCTCGCCCCCAGCGTTTTCTCCAACTGCTTCTGTTGCCCCGACCATCCCCAGCGTGTCTCTTGTCTGCAGCATCTGGGCTCCGGGATCACGTTGGCAGCAGGATGCTGGGACTGGTCTCACGAGGTGTCTGCCAGAGCCCTGTGGCCTTCGCACCTGGTGCTCCCTTCACCCAGAACTAGCTGGTTACTCCGAGCTCGTGGTTAGAGCTTGGACTGAAGTATGAGTCAGACGTGCATTTTTATCACCAGGAGGAGACAGTTCCTTGATGGCTTCATGCTGAATACAGAATGTAGTCAAGAAGCCAATTTCTGGTTGCTTCTGTGTGCAGCAAGTGTCCCTGCAGGGTGGGAGCTTCACAGCCAGGGAAGTAGAGTGAGTTTCTGGCGGGAGCTGATGAATCACCTGTAAACTCTACAGGGACACCTATAGTGACAGAAGTGGAAGCAGCTCTCCTGACTCTGAAATCACTGAGTTGAAGTTTCCATCCATAAATCATGACTGATGATAATGTAAGTGTACTTTTAAGCTTTGATTAAAAGCAAAGTGGTGCCAACAGCAGGGTTGCTGACACCCATGAATATTTAGGGCTGAACTTTTTTATCTGCAGAGAATGAAAGAGCAGTGTGGACGTCAGATAGGTGCAGCTGCCGGCCCTGCGCCGGGGCCCCAGGGGCTGGGGACAGGGCAGCTCTCACCAACCCCGGGGCACTGGATTCTTAGACCCGTGGTTCTCGGGTAGCCACAGCCTGGGAGGCCTTGAGCGCGGCACACATGATGTGTGCTTGTCATTTCTGCTGAGAAGCATGTAACATACGGTTTGGTGTTGATGGCCGCGTAAGCAGGACATCCTTCCACACCTGAACGGCGCCCAGACTGAGTGTTCTGGCGCTGGCGGGGCTTGTAAGCTGTGCGGCGCAGTAGCAGCGGGCACCCGCGTGGTATGGGCCCCTCCTACAAGAAGTGGGCTCCTGCAGAAAAACACCTTCTGCTTGTGACGGTGTTGGAAGGGGAGAGCATGTCAGGGAGGGATCTGGGGGCCACCTGAGGCACAGGCACGTGGCCCCCCTGAGTCCCGCACACTTGCACCCACTGTCTTTGGGCCGCCTCGCCGTGCCGGCCGGCCCTAAGGGGCGCGCGGTGCATCCCCTTCTGTGGGGTCGATGGGCCGCCTGGCCTGCGGGCGGGAGGTGTGGGGTCGCTGTAGGTGGCTGCTCTGCGCCAGGTCAGCTCTCAGCACAGGGCTCACCAGTCCTCCGCCCCAGGGCACTTCCCGTAGACGGTCTGGTCGTCCAGGGAGCGGCCGTAAGGAGAGGAGACGGACAGTGACGGGGTAGCTGTCGGTCAGTTAACGTGGGATTTCTCACTGCCTCGCTAGTGGAGACTTCCTGTACGCGGCACTGCTCAGGCTGGTGCTGTGGAAAAAGAACCTTTGTATTGAGGCAGAGGTGGTCAAGAGTAAGCTCTTACAAGTGTAGGATTCTGGGGAATTAGAAATTTGGTTCTTGCTGCTGGTCTTCAATGAAGAATAGGCAGTGGACCGTGGCAGCTGACTCCAAAGTCTTCGTTTTTCTACTTTAAAAAGCCATCACGTAATTCCTAAAATTTGTCTTTTAAACAGGGCTGATCCGTCAAGAAGCCTTCAGACTTTGGTGGAGTTTACAGCTTTGATTTTACACTCAGCTTTTGACACTTCCTTTAAATTATGTTTTTATTAAGATTATTTTATTATGGGAAAGGTATTTGGAAGACTTTTAACATGCATGTCCCATCATGTGTATCGGCTCCTTCGCTGTGGTGCCTGGTGTTGAAGCTCCCTTGTGGTCCGTGAGCCTTCCGGGCGAGCAGCACGACCACGGGCAGGAGTGCATGCCAGATGTGGCTGGTGGCGGCTCCCTGTCATCCTGTTTCTGCAACTACCTCGCATCGTTGTGGATTCGAGTGCTGGCCCACTGCTTCCTCTTGGAGGCCTCGCCATTACAGAAAGTGCGTGGAAGGACTTGTAGTTAGTGCTTGTAACACTTGGTGCTGGGGGCTGGAGGCACTGCTTGTACCCAGGGCCGTGAGGGGAGAGCGCAAGCCTCAGCACTGCCAGTGCGGTGGGGGCGACTGCCAGCCGGGCGGGCAGCCGGCGTCGAGAGGCACCGTCGGCTTGGCGTTCCGGGGAGCCAGACGTCTGTCTCTGCAGTGTGGTTGTGGGTCTGGCCCCCATCCGCTGGCCGTGCTTCTCTTCTAGGGCCGGGAAACACTCCTTGCATCAAGGGGTTGCTTAGAAAAGAATCTTTTGGGGAAACTGCCTCTAAAACCCTCTCTAATAGACAGCTTTGGCTGAGGGGACTTTTCCTTCCAGGATGTTACTGCGATCAACATGTAATGTACTACGACAAGCTGTTTTCTTAGTGTGGTGTACACTGGGCACCGCTCTGTGCCTGCTGTGCTCTGGCTGTTCTTGGCGTGTACTCTAACTTAAGAAATAAATGATGCAGAACAAGACCCGCTTTGTTTGCTGTGATTTGCTTGGTGGCGGACGGACAGGGAGCGCAGCGAGGGGAGCTTTTCTTTTAGTAGGAACTGGAATTCCTCAGCTTCACATCCACACCGCCAGTTGATACGTAAAGAGATTCCAGGCAGCACGGCTGCCCCTTGGGAAGGGGGGTGGCGGCTCGTGGCGGTGGCCTTCCCTGCGTGGGGTCTGGGCAGCGCCTGGCCAGGCCAGGAAGCAGCCGACCGGACTGTAGCCTCCCTCCGGCCACCGGCTGCCTGCGTCCAGTCTCAGCCAGGCCAGCAGCTCAGGGTCATTCCTGACTTTTCTCCCGAAGTGAAACTGGCGCTGGTGAAGCCCTGCTCCTGCGGCGTGTGGGACCTGCGGCGTGTGGGACGCTGGCACCTCTGCAGGCGGCCGCGTGGCAGAAACCTGGGGCGGGCCCCGCGGCGACACTCTTGTCTCACTGACAGCGGGACAGAGGCAGGGGGCGGGGAGGGGATGTGCCTCAGCACTTGGCCCAGCTCCCACAGCTGAGATCAGAGGAGTGGGTTCACTTTCTCTTTCATGGGCCGAAATAGAACGTCTTCACTTAGAAGTTGGCTGGGTTGAATGCAGCTGAGCTGGGTGTGGTTTAACTTTCTCCCTACCCAGTCTTACAAAAGCCATTCCCCAGACCGACGGCAGTGACTTGCCCCTGGCGACAGCACTGCTGCCTGCAAGCCACCTGCAGCTTTCTGGGAAGGGACTCCAGACAGCGTCCGGGGGTGCGCGCAGCCCCGCCGGCCCCGCCGTGATGAGTGGTGGGGGCTGTACCGGAGGGAAGACTCCCAAGCCTGTGTCCACCGAAGGGCCCAGAGGCTTCTGGGGGAAGAAACCTAGCGGGTTCTTAACATCTGGAGCAACTGAACTACAACATGACTTCATCCTGCCTTCCTAGAATCCAGCTCTTCCCAATGTAAGCATTTCTGGGGTGCAGGTTCAGGTGGTTCAGAGGGTAGGTAGGATGTGCACACATGGAAGAATAAGATATAAGTGCAAAAATTAAAAAGTGAGAATTCCGAGACTGGGGAAGCCTGGCATGTGCACGGTGCTCAGGAACGGCTCCCCTCTGGCCTGGGGTGCATCCTCTGCAGTTCCCAAGTGGCCTCTGAAGCCAGTTTCAGGGGTGGGCGAGCAACAGGACAGGCAGCCGAGGGCACCCTGGCTGCTCCCACCAGTGCGCGTTGCTGACACCGGAGTTGTGTCTTGCTAGGTAACGCGAGAAAACCAACAGCCATCATGACGGGCTCTGGTGGCGGGGTGGGGTGTGGATGCAGAGCCTGTTGTCTCTAGTTCACGGAGGGACCACGGCGGGAGAGGGCACCCAGGGACGCGTGTCCCGCGGACCCCAGGGGGACGCCCTTTTGGATAATGCTGATTTTCTAGTGGCTCAAACTCAAAATTTAGGCGCATCCTTGATATTTAATCAGTAAGTATTTGTTGGGTACTTCACCACAAGCCAACCAAGTTGTGGGTCTGACTTCACAGCAGTCAGATTTTGGGAACAAAGCACCCAAATCCCGGCTCTCAGGACAGTGCATGCCAGTGGAGTGGGGTGTCAAGCTCGACAAATACAAGCTTGAGTGTAACTGGCAGGTGAGGAAGGTGGAAGCAGAAAGGGGATGGCAGTGATACTGGGGGAGGGGGAGGGTGTAGCCTAAAGTAGGGTGGGTAGAAATCTTTCCACTTGAGATGGAGAGGAAGGGAAGTAGGGGTCGCGCAGCTTTCTGGGGAGGCACATTCCAGGCCGGGGAAGCAGCCAGCGCAAAGGCCCTGTGGTAAGTAAGCTGCCTGTGAAGTGACAGAGGCTGTCGAGCTGGAGGCCTGAGCGTGGCGCAGGAAGCTGTCAGTGGGCCAAGTGGGGGGTTGTACAGACAGACCATCATTCGGGCTTTGCTTTTGGTGGAGTGGGGAGTTCTTGGACGGCTCTAAGGCACGACTGGACGCTGACTTTATAGAGTGGCTGCTGGTGGCGATGGGCGGGGATTGGCCAGAAGGGGAATCCTTGCCAGTGGCTGCTGGGTGCTTGCAAGTCACAGCCTTTCTGGGCAAGTACTGGAATGTGCTGGAGAGACAGGGCTTCAGCTTGATGTCAGAGTGCCCTGTTGTGGCCACTGTCACTGTCTTCGCGGTGAAGAAGAGGAGCAGTTGGCTCCTCAGTACCTTGAACTGCCCTTTAAGGCAGAGGGACTGGTCAGCCTGGTCTTCCCTAGCAGCTGTGGGGTAGGCACGCAGGACTGGCTCGGCCTCCTGCACAGAGGTGGGCTGAGGGGTGAGGATGGGACGCAAGTCCCAGCCCCACCCAACCTGCTGACCAGTATCCTAGAAACAGCCGTTGTAGCCCAGAGTGTGCAGTGTACTGAAGAGCTGTGACGAGGAGCCCCTCCAGCCGGGTGAGGCCTGCGTGCCCTGCTAACCAGCTTCCGGGCGTGCTCTGCCATCTGCAGAGGTGCTTCCCCAGGATGACAAACTGCTCCTGTCTAGTCCACTACAGTCAGACCTCAGCCTGGGCAAAATGAACATTTTAGGGAGGGGCCAGTCCCTACAGTGCACCCTTCGCTAGCTCTGACCAAGTTTTTGCAAGTTTTCTGAGTAAGTTTCCTTGATGATCCAGCTAACAACAGTCTCTTAGCAACACAGACCAGATAAGGATTCAGCCACACGGGACCAGCCACGAGAGCAGGTTGAAGGAGACAGGAAGTGTGGTTCTCGTCACCTCTGAGTGGCCCAGCCAGGTTTATGGGAAGCCCGTCCCAGGTGGGGGGCTGGCCGCCGCGCCCTGCCCTCACTTCCTGGAGCCCACGCGCTGCGCCTCACAGGACGCAGCAGATGCAGGAGGGGGGCCTTTGCAACTGCAGCTGCTGTTCCAGCTTTTCCTTCTCCACCGTCAGTGCCTTCACCTTCGTCTCCAGCTTGCTCAGCTCTGCCATCCACTTCTGAGGGGACATGTTAGAAGCCAGGTCTGAGCTGACGTGGTCTCAGGCCCGTGTGCCTGCTGCCCAGGACTGAACTGATGGTGGCTGGCACGGCACAGACCACTGGTGTTCTGCTCAAGGCCACGGGCAGCGCAACGGCCCTGCTGGGTGGGGGAAGCAGGTCCCCTCCAGCACCCCAGGCCCTGGGATAGTCCTTCCTCTGGCCACCTCCTGTGGCAGGGGGGGGGCTCAGGTTGGCAGCCCTGGGCCTACTCCGTTTTCTCCCTCAACCTCTTGCTCTCCTATGCTCTCTGGCTTTCCCTTGGCACTGGGGCTGGACCTCACTGCCTGCCTGAAAGGGGCTCCCTTCCTCAGGGTTGCTTTGCAGCTTCTAGCTATTCCTGCCCCTGCTCCCCAAGCCCCACAGCAGTAGAATACAGGATGTGGTGTGGTGGGGTATTTTCATCCAGCCCCTCAGCATCCTCGGTCCCTGGCGCTCATGAGTGGCTGGAGGGGCTCCGTCTGCCCACCGCGGCCTCGGCCACTTACCTGCCTGCACCACTCCTGGATGTCGTGGATGGACAGCGGGCCCTGGATGCTCCCGTCTCGCCGCAGGAACACCTCCCCCTGGTCCGTCTCGTAGAGCCGTGGCTCGGCCTGGGCCTTGCGGGGGTGCACGCTCAGGCGGATCACCTGGTAAGGGCAACAGCCCCTGCCTTGACAGTGTGCCCCCACCCACTGGCTGGCTCATGACTCGCTGGCGCCCAGGGACAGTCTGGCTGGGCTGGGGGCAGGCCGGCTTCTGGCCTCTTCTCGTCACTCCCTTGCCCAACTCCCTTCCGCCACCACTCCAGCCCCCACCCCAGCCCCGCTCAGCAGCCTTGATGTGAACCGTCACTTGTGCAGTGATGACCACACGGACCAGAGCCCTTACTGTGCCCAGCTCACCTTGAGGGGGGTGCTGGTCATGGTGGTGCTGACCACGGGGATGAAGGTGAGCGTGTAGGCATCGGGGAAGACCTGGGGCTTGAAGCCCTGCAGCACGGAGTCCACCAGCAGGCGCACGCGGTCCTCCCCGCGGTGGCTGCAGCGGGTGCCCTGCACCAGGCCGTTGTCCTCCACGCCCACGAACAGGCTGCCGCCCTCGCTGTTGAGGAAGGCACACACGTAGCGCCGCACGTGGTGCTTGAAGGTCTGGTTCAGGTACTCGCCGCTGCCCCGCTTGAACTCCACATTGCGAGTCTCGCTGCCCAGGAAGGAGCCCTGGAAGAGCCGCTCCTGACCCAGGATCTCCTGGTTGACGATGGCGCTGTCCGAGCGCGTCCCACTGGGCCGAGCCTGGCAGCTCCGCCATTGCGGGGCATGGACCCAGACAGGCGAGGTGTTGGCGAGCTCGGCTGGCTGACGGCTGGAGCCAGGCCTGGGGCGGGAGCCGGAACCAGAGCGGGGTTCAGGGCCGGGGCGGGAGCCAGAACCAGGGCTGGGTTCAGGGCTGGGGCTCAGGCCATTGTCGTCCTCCTGTTGGGTAGGGGGCCGAGAGAAGGGTGGATGGACCCACACTGGAGTGGGGAGCCCTGACCTTTCTAGTGACGGACAGATGGCCAGGACGCCATCTTCCCCACACGGGCCCAGTCCACTTGGGTATTCTGGTGTCTGCCCTCAGGACAGATCTCTAGGCAGAGGTCTAATTCTGCCCACTGCTGGGTCAGGGCTCGAGTCTGCTGCCGCCCCTGCGCTGGGCGCTCTCTTCCTGGACAGACCTGGAGGGCTGTGTGGTGGTAAGGCGCACTCCCCCTCCCAGAGCTGTGAAGAGGCACACCTGGGGCCAACCTCTTCCCACTTGGGCTGTGGATGGACCTCTGAGGCCCAGGACAAGCTCATTCTAGGAGATAGTCTGCTCCCTGTGTTCTAAGGCCCCTGTGACAGGTGCACGGGACTCTCGAGAGAGAGAGGGGCTCCTAGCTTCTCCCTTCCTGATCGCCCCAAAGCCTGCTGTGTCCCGTTGTTTTCTGGCCTACAGATCAGTGGTCCCAAGTCCCCTCTGATCAGGTTTCTTCTCTGATCAAGGGCTCTGGGAATGAGTGTCTTTACAGCTACCGCCCTGTGAGTCACCTCAGACACCCCCACCCCCCACCCTGGACTCTCTACCCTCATCCATCTGGTTGACCCTAGATGCAAGCCATATCATTTCCTCACGAAACACTTCTCCCCTGCCTCCCTGTCACCATGGCCCAGACTCTGGAAGTGGCTTTCAGGGCTGGGTGCGCTGTGTGGGCCAGGACGTGGTCACGCAGGACACATTCCTTCCGGCCCAGAGACCGATGTATCAGAAACATGAGAAACTGTCATGCAAACATGAAATCGGGCTCAAGGGTCTTGAAATCTAAGTCACAGAGCAGCTTAGTGCTGCAACTAGTAAATACCATGAAACTTTCATGCCAAGAGCAAATAAAACCCAAGATCACCAGTCCCACAGCGAGACCTCAGCTGGTTGCCTGCACACTGCAAAATGACCTCAGTCCCTCTGGCTTGGTCGTATAGCCCTTGGAGACTCGGCCCCTGCCAGCTTTAACTCTTGCAGCCTTTAGCTGAGCTCCGGGGTAGCAAATGGCTTGCTCCTCTGCAAATGCAACGCCCCTGCCCCTCACACCCCCACCCCCAGTGAGTGTCCGGTGCTTCTGTTGGGAAGCCTTTCCCACAAACAAGTCTGTCCCACTCCCCAAGTCCCAGCCTAGATTGTCCTGCCTTGTGGCTCTGTCCCTTCCTGAGTCCTCCTGCGCAACCCCCTTGCAGCTTTGTGAAGGCTGTCTGGCTGGGCTCGTAGGTGAGGGCCCTTGGAGTGCAGGGCCAAGCATCAGTGCCCTGCTTCACTTCCTGGCAGACAGTGGGCACCACCGCTTATCCACTGAGTGGAGGAGGTGGTCCGAGAGAGCCTCGGACTGCTGTGGATCCTAAGGCTTGGGCTGGCCAGGCTGAGTCTGAAATACAGAAGGACCCGGGGCACTACACTGTGGCTTTTCTTCATGTATTTCCAGGCTAGAGACAAGCTGGCTGTTTTGGTGGGTGCCCCTCTGGGTGAAAAAGCTGGCAGCCCCAGTTTGTAAACTTGTGCCCGGTTCCTCAAGGCCTCCCTGCTCCCGTCACTCAACATGCACCATCCACACTGAAACCTCTCACCTGGCCGAGTGCTGGGGCTTGCAGGCCTGAAAGTCTCACTCACCTCCCTGCGGTTCAAGGGCCTACGGCCCTCACTCAACACCAGCTCCTTCCCGCGGGCCACCAGCTCCTTGAGGATCTGGTGCTCCTCCAGGGCCAGATTCAGGCGCCAGGTCAGGTTGGCTAGGGTCTCCTTGTGGGTGGCCACTTGTACCAGGGCATAGGCCTTGCCAGGCCGCTTCACCACCTCGATGTGTTCCCGTGCCACCCGCAGGCCCAGCCGCTCCAGGGTGTCTCGCAGCAGGCAGGCAAGCACAGGGACTGAGAACTGGGGGTTCAGGTGACCCAAATAGATAGTATGTGTGCCGGAAGCCTCCTGGAGGGCAGCGTCCTCAGGCAGGGGCTCAGTTGGAGGGAAATTCAGGGGCTGCTTGTCTGGGTCCATGAGGGGTTCCTGCACCTGTGCTTGTGGTGAAGTCTTCCTGGGGGTCTCTGGAGGGGTCTCCCTTGGAAGGGATTCCAGGATTCCTCACAGCTGGCTGCTCCTCCCAGGGTCCTGGGCTCTCAGTTTGGTCCAAGGTCTCCCAGGGGACTCACAGGGTGCCAAGGCTCCTGGGAGGTTCACAGATTGGCAGGGGTGGGGCAGGACCAGAGAGAGAGAGGGAGGCCAGAGGGCCAGCAGGAAGAGGCCTGCCACCCACCCAAGGCCTGCAACAGGAAAGGAGAGTCAGACAGGGCCGTGCCCGAGAGTAGAACATATTCAGGCCTGCCCTCCTCCCACAGAAGGGTGGACTGAGGGGATATGCCAGGCAGGGGAGAGGAGAGGCGACCAGGCCTCAGGCCTCTGGGGCCCATTATGTCCTTTCATTGACCCCAGGGGTCCCATTCTTTCCTCTCAGCCCCCAGACTCAGGGCCTCCGAGGTATTCTCAGGGCTACCAGAGATGGCTGCTTTGCTGCCACCAAAGAAAACTTTCCAAGTGGCCTTTGCAGAAGACCCCCACCCTGGGGCCCCGAGGACTGGCTGCAGCCCCACTGCTGCAGCCCCACTGCTGCTTCCTCTTTCCTGGTGGGAGTCTAGCACGGGCTGTCAGGGTTGGGTCAGAGGACTGGAGCAGAGCGCTTAGACTCTGGGCAAACTGACAGGCAGAGCGATGGCCCCTCCCCACAAGAATGGCCTCGCATATATACATATAATTTGAGGCAGTACCGGACACGCAGTAAGACCTCCTAGTCTGGACGAAGTCCTGTTTTTGGACCAGGGAGAAGGGGGGAGGGGTAGAATGAGGGACGAGCTTGGACCCTGTGTACAGCGCCCCAGACCCTGGCAGGCCCTGGCTTCACTCTGAGCTGTGCACACCTGCATACACACAGCCCCTCTACTCACCCCCACACACCAGCCTCTGGTTTCTGAGGCAGGTATCATGGACCTGCATCTTTTCAGATTGGATCCTTCAGGGCAAACAGGGATAGGAGGGAAAGGGAGGCCCGTGACCCTCATGTCCTGATGGTTCCTGGAGCGTGGGAGTTGCCATCCCTGAGTTCCCACAGCTCCCTGATCACTGGCCAGCAGCTCCAGAGGGCAGTTGTGGGCTTGGCAGGGGGCAGTGAGAACCAGGGCTGTAGGAAGTGGGTGGGGCCTGTGCAGCTACCTCTGTGATCTCACCAAGGCCAACAATGCTTTCCCAGCCAGCCTCAGGTAGGCAGAGTGGGGAAACCAAACAGAAATCTCCTTATTCCCTAGAATTCAGGGTTGAAAGCACTTCATAAATTTCAGCAAGCCCAGTGCCCATGCAGTTCCTGGTGCCACACAGAGCTTTCGCAGCACCCCTGGGCTCCATGGGGCACTGCTAGGGGCCCAGCTATTCCCAAGTGGGTCAATACGCACACGGGCTTGGGCGTTTTTCATTATACAGATGTAAGGCAGCAATCTCCTACGCCGCTTCTGGAACTCCTGTTTGTGGGTCGGCGAGGTGGAATCCAAAGGCAGAGGCCTCCAGGGGGGACTCCGAGGCAGAGCAGGCAAGGCTGCCTCCCTTGAGCAGCCATCCTGAAGATCTACAGACTTTTTCTTTCCCTAAGGGACTGAGGCAGAAGCTTGGTTGGAGAACTTGAGAAAGGCTCCGAGTGGGGCCAAGGAAGAGGCCCTAGGTCCCAAGTGGCGGCCGGGGAGAGCCTGTCTGGTGACCCCTTCCTGCCGGTCACTGAGCCACAGCTCTAGAGGTCTGGCCGACACCTCGCTGCCGCCTTCTCCTTCAGGCCTTCGGCAGCAGTGCAGTGGAGGCTGAGCTGTCTCAGCTGATGAAATGGAGTCATGTTGGGGGGCGTGCAGAGACAGGCACCTGGCCAGAGAGGGCTGGCAGATGAAACTTGTGATCATGACCAGGGCCTTCTCTCTGCTTCTCTGGAGGCCTTGCTGTCAGGCAGCTGTTCTGTGTGAACTATTCCAAACTCATTCGTGAGCCAAAGCTGTCCCCAGGCTTACTGGAAATTTCTTTAAACCGCTGGGTCATGTATTTCCTTGGAACCTTCAACAAGTTAATTTTAGTTCTACTTTTTTTTTTTTTTTCAGAAGGCAAAATTGTCTTTTATTGTAAGCCCTAACACATAATATTTACACACTAAAACTGGGTGTCAGGCTTTCTAACAGTATTGATGGTGCTCTGCAGGCAGCGGCAGACGTGAGCTCACTGGGGGACAGGCCAGCCCTTCCAATCCTCTTGCTGGACGCTGGTGATCTTACTGACAAACCCCACCTGGCCCTGGAGAAAAAGCAGCTCTTGGATTTAGTTAAAAATGGGAGGTGGCGGCCCTCCCTGGTGGCGCAGCGGGTTAAAGCACTGCACTGAGAAGCTAAAGCCACTTCTGCATGAGTTCTACTCCCGCCTGCCCAGGAGGTGACCACATGGCGTGGCAGACCTCTCCTGACCCGCCCGCTGCTCCCCTCAGCAGTGGACTTCATCGATCTGCCTGTTCTGCTCCCCACTCTGTCTCTGGTGAAGCCTCTCACCACCCCTGAGCCTCTGGCCTGTACCCCACTTCTGTATGTACAAATAATCTTTAAAAAAAAAAAAATGGGAGGTGGCACAGGGAGAAGGCCACCGGGGGCTGAGAAAGGGTTCTTTTAGTTTAACACCCAGAGTGCCCCCGGGGGGCCCACACGACCTCCCTGAGGGGGATCTGTGCTACCTACCCAGAAGGGCTGGAAGGGGGACAGAGGGCAGGGAGGCATGGGGGTGTGGACAAGCTCAGTTGTGTTGAGAGCTGAGGATGTCAGAGAGTGGACTGAACTCAGGGGGGAGGGGGTGGACACAGACTTTGCCACTGGGCCCCTTACGTCACTTCAGCCTGCCTCGAGCTCCCCCTTGCATGCCATGAGTGCTGGGGGCGCCCGGCTGCCCTGGGATGAGGGCCTGCCCACAGGGCAGCTCGAGGGCGGTGTGTGGGCTGGGACCTGTAGGCCACTGGCCCCTGTACACATCTGCAGCTGCTTTTGGGTGACTGTCCTGGGCTGCAGTTTGGAGCTTCCCTGATGCCATGTGGCGACTTGGAGAGCACCAGGGTAAAGAGGCTGCAGAAAGTCGAGGGAGGAAGTAAGGCAGGAATACCTGCACTCTCTCAGGGAAGATGATTTTCCATGTTTTTTCTTTGTTTCAAAGAGGAAGGGTGAGTCACTTTCTGGCTCTTCCTGAGGAGGGATTGTGGTATCCGGCCTGAGGGTAGGAACCATGTGTCCACTTGGCAACTGTGTCCACCAGGCCATGCCCCAGAGAGCAACCTCAGGGACTTCCACAAAGATGCTGAGGAGAGCTGTGGACACTGATCTGGAGAGTGGAGACAGCCCAGAGAGGTACAGCAGCTGCATGGCAGGCAGGCAGGAGGGTTCAGCCCTAAGTGGACTCTCATCTTCTGAAGCACCTGAGTTTTCAGTTCTGAAGTTCTCTGACACGGGAGTCGGCGTCCTCTCTGCCACAGCACTGGGGGCGGGGAGGGGGTGAAGCTGGTGCCCAGAGGCCTCTGGCCCCACCTGCGTGTCCCTCCCTCTCCACTCTGTGGGTGGCTGGGCTGCTTGCATCAGTGGCCCTGTCTCGCTTGTCTGAAGCTCGTGTGTGTGGCCCTGCAGAGGCCACTTCATTCTCTGGGTGATGCGGAGCCACCACTAGAAGGCTTGATTTTGTGAAACTACCTCAAAAATTGTGGATTTTTTTTGTTGTTGTTGTTAAATGATACTCGATTGTGACCCCAGAGGTTAGGGCAGTATGAGTAAAGGGGTAACAAATCCTCTCGTAGAACTTGACATGGGTTTAGTTCTCCTCTCTTGGAAATGAGATAAAAGTGGACTGTCAACTGTTTCAAGGCAATGTTACTTACGGCAAAAATGACCCCTAACTGTAAGTCGTGTGGACTGGAGTTCTATGTAGGAACATTATCTGCTCAAAAGCCACAGCTTTGGGCTTCCTGAGCACAGCAACTCAGCTGGGCACATGTCCTGCAGGGACCCTGGAAGCTAATGCTGTGGGGCTAGGGAGTTACCGGCTCCCCTGGGCCATGCTATTTCCAAAACCAAGGCAAACCCCACTTGTCCCTGATTTGTCACATTCTCTTGTACCTGAGCCATCACCCAGGCAACGAAGAATGATGGCCCTGGCTCTTGCTGACTATGGGCTGTGAGGACTACCCTGCTGGAGAAGAGTGTTTCATGCCGGGCCTGCTGAATGCCGGTGGGCGTCTCAATCCGAGTGGCTAGTAGATCTATGTCAAGGGCTTCCTGGTGGTGTTGCAGATAGTGTGATGGGCTGCAGCTCTCTTTACTTATAGGGTTTGGGGGAAGTGCCTTATCCCTCAAACTTTAGTTGTAAAATGGGGTCAACATAGTAATTATCCAACAGGCCTTCAGTGAGGTTTAAACGACATATGCTGCTGTTACCTGCAGTCTCTTGGGTAAGGGTCACATTGCTATGTTCAGGATCAGGGTGCAGTAAGGCCCTCTTTGGATACCCGAATAAACATCATAGCCTGCCAGACCCTAGTGTTCAAGAGTCTGTGGAAACCAGAGGCTTATTCTAGTTTAGCAGCCCAGACTCTGACTCTTCACAGGGACTGGGCTAGAAGCTCACAGCGGCCAAGGGGAAGGGACAACATGTTAGTCAGGATGTCTGAACAAGTCTGTGATGAGAGCTGGTAAGGGTGCTCACAAGTCTCCTCATCCAAACCCATCAAAGCGAGATGGACCCCAAAGAGGAAAATGACCCACTCAAGAGTGTCACAGCAAGGAGCTGGAACCCTGGTTGTGGCCTTGTAGTGAGAGTACTTGACTTCAAATATCTACTCTTGTACTTCCTGGCTATGTGATCGGAGCCTAAGTTTCTTCATTTAAAAAATGGAGTTTTTAAATGGTGGCAAGGGGTTAATTCTTGGCACTGTGAAGTTGTCTGCAGCCACTTCAGCATGAGTTTGATCTCTGACCAGAGAAGTAACCCACATGGTGTTACAGACCTCTCCTGTCTTGCCCGCTGTTCCCCTCAGCAGTGTATTTCAGTCAATCTGCCTGTTCTGCTCCCTACTCTTTCTGTGGTGAGCCCCCTCACCTCCATACCTCTGGCTTATACCCCAGTTCTTGTCTGCATAAATGAATCTTAAAAAAAAAAAATGGGCTTGTTGTAAAGATGAAAGAGGAATAATGCTAGTCTATGTACTGTTTCTTTGTATAACAGTATTACTTTATGTAAGATAAAAGTACTAGTCATTAGCAGGTTGCACTGCACTGTGCTGGGACCCTGGCACTTTCGCCTTCTGTGATCCCATCAGAAATAGGAATGCGCGGCCCTGGACAGGAGCACCTGACCCCTAACGGGTACAAGGAGTCCCATGCAAGCTGGGCCAGTCTGCACCATGTGGACAAGGTGGATCCCAGCCTGGAGACTCCCTGGAGTGGCTGACTCCTGGAGCTACTCTCTCCTTGGACTCTGCACTTCTGTGCACTCCACTGCCTGGCTACCGCAGAGCAAAGCCCTCTGGGGGCAGAGAATGAACTTACACAGTGTCTCCCAGGGAGCTACGTGATGCTGGGTCCCCGAGTGAGCAGCTGTCAGTCTGCTGTTTAGGGACTGCAGAATAGAAACCTTAGGGTCATCTCGTGTATGCTCATTTTAATTAGGAGAAAACTAAGATGAAGAGAAGGGGACTCACCTGCCTGTTGGAAGTACAGTGACTGGGCTGTCAAGTGATTAAAAAAAAACACTTACATCTATATTGTATTTTATTTATAAACAAATAGACATAAAATAAGTCCAGATGCCAGCAGGGCAGTTGTACTGCTGACACGCTTACAAAGGAAGCATATGGACAGTGGAGTGGGTACAACCAGACTCCAGCCTAGAGACCCCTCCCTTCACCCACCTCGGGCTATGCTGGCCTAAAGTCACTGGGTCCAACTTTATCCTCAGCAGTTCTGGCCAGGGCACAAGTCAATGTTGGGGGACAGTGCAGGCAGGAGACTCCCATTCCCACCGATGAGGCCGGGCTGCACAGGGCCCAGTGGATGTAGAGAGGGGTAGACAGGGATTCTGTCACGTCTATGCTGATGATGTACTCGGGGGGGTGGGGTGTCTGTCCATCCCAATGAGAAAGAGCCTGAGAATAATGTCCTCCAAAGAGGGGCTGAGCCTCTTTGGGGAGTGCATCTCTGGGACCAAGGCAGGCGGTCTCTCTCCTCCTCGAATCCAGGGTCTGAGGTGAGGGGAGCATGAACTTGAGGCTTGCCCAAATGCCAGAAACAATAAATAAGAAAAATCCTTTTTTAAAAAAAGGTAGAGGTCTGCACCATGAATTTGGAATCTAGAAATCTTGTGAGGAAAAGGCAGAGCTATAGGTCAGAGGTGCCACGTTAGACCCAGCAGTGATGGGGGACTGGGCACAATTAGTTTAGGCCCCCCTCTTCTGAAGCTTCAGAGGCTGGCCCCTTTCTCCATCACTAGGATGTTCAGTTTAAACTCCTGGTGAGAGGCTGACCGGGACTGAGAAATAAATAGTGGCACCTCAGAACCGAGCAGGGCTGGGGGAACAACAGTGACAGCCCTGCACCCCCCCCCCTCCTTTCAGTCCTTCATGGAAGGACATATCATGGAAGGAGGGGCTAGCGGTGGTGGTTTCTGGAGTCCTGAAACAGCCCTGAACCTCACTGACTACCCAGGAGTGACTGATGATCCCTCTTCCTGGGAGAAGAATGCCCCATCTGCTCCACCCCTCAGTCATCTAGGCTGTGTCTCCCACTCAGAACTTGCCCTGCTTCAGTCGGTCGATGTGGTAGGAGAGCTTGAGTGCAGGCCCCAGCTTCAGACCCATGTACTTCATCATCATGTCGCTGCGCAGCAGAAGCAGGGCCTTGCCGTCGATCTCCTGGGGGTAGGAGAAGGTGCCATTAGGGGCCTAGTGGGCCTGACCCCCGCAGGTTCTGACTAAAGGACACCTAGGAAAGTAACTGCCATTCAGCCTGCTGTGACGCTACAGCTGTCCTGCTGTCCCCACCTTTTGTCTGTAACTATCCCTGTCCCCAAATATCTGTCACTGAACCCACAATGTTAAGTTTGTCACACATACACACTTGCCTTTCTCTGCCGTCCGAGAGGCAGGCTCCCCCACCCTCCCAAACCTCTGAGATCCAGCTCGATCCCATCGCTTTCAGGAGGCCTCCCCAGTCACTCTGCTTATCACAGGCCCCCGCTGTTACTCTGTGAGCCATCTTCCCTTCCCAGGAGGCAGAGGTCGCGAGCTTTGCTTGAGCTAGCTGAGCAGCTGCAAGACCTTCAGAACTGACCTAAGAGCACCCTCCAAACATAACTATCATGCAAGACTGAAATGATCAGTGAAGGGGGACAGTATATATAACCTCTGGCCTTCAAAAATCTATGAGCTGCAGAAGCAAGACTTTCTGACAACCCAGAGAAGGTTAGGCAAGGACACCTACATGTTTGCGGAAGAGGTCAGCATGGGGTCCAAGCTGAGGATCAGCTTCCCGGACAAACTGCATCACGTCCTCGACAGTCCATGAGGAGGGGTCCCGGCCATTCAGTCGAGACGCATCCCGGCTTTCCAGGTACCGGTCTGACCCTGCAAGGTAAGAGGGCACCGGCCATGATGGGCGGGGACATGTCTGTAATTCCTCACCACTGTACCTGGCATGTCCTGATGGCCTGAGTAAGGCTCACTATTTGAGCATGAGCAGAGCAAGTGGAAGCAGCTGAGGGAGGGAAGCGTTTTCCACAAAGGACCCAAGAAACTTCTTAAGTCAAATCTTTGATCTTTCAGGGTAGATCTGATTTTGGAAATAGGCAGAAGAAATTTTACACTGATACTGTGGTTCAGCTTGGATGAGCAAGGATAATATGAGATAAAGTGATTACTTGGAGGATTCTGCTGGGTGGGGCTGCTTTTGCCTTGGCTCCGGGGCCATTTCTAGAGAACTATCAGTAACACACATAATTGCATAAATGCATACTTACGCATATAATACCATCATGTGCTTATGTTTTTGTCTGGCAGTGGGTTTCCTTTAGGATATAAATTCTGAGGGCAGGCAGCAGGAAGCTCCTAATTTATATGGTGGTCAGGAGAGACATCTCTGAAATTACCGCATTCAAGCAAAGCCCTTGAGGCAGAAGAATTACTGGCATGCCTAAGGTTTAGCAGGGAATCAAATGTGGGGAGTGGTGTGAAGGAAGAGGAAAGCGGTAGGAAGTAAGACCCTGGAGGGTGTGCATGCTTTGGGGCAGGGGAGCGTGGTCCAGATAGAAGGCCCTGTATGTGACTGAAAACCACTGCTGAGTGATGGAGGCTGGTTTTAAGCAGAGTGACACCAACACAACTTATAACTAAAAGGATTACCTTCATCGTTTGTGTTAGACAAGGACAGAAGACAGAGATAAGTTACAAAGGAGACTACTACAGAGTTAAGGCCTGCGCTGACTGGCACATACAGGGTGGAAGAGGTGAAAAGCTGCCTGACAAATGGACAGTGTTATACACTGTATAGAAAATTCTCAGTATATCAACTTATTTGACCTTTAAAATGCCTTTCTCACTGAAACTGAAGCTAAAGGGTCAAATTGGTTTTAGACCCTAAAGTACTAAGTCCTTCCCTACTCCACCTTCATTCATTCCTGACAACAGTCAATCTTTCCTCCAGGTTCAGAAAGTAAGGTGCACCTCCTTCTGGCTTAAGACAGGGTGATCTGTCTATGCTCTTGATCCTGAATTATTCCTGCCACCCTCAAGATCTTACTTTCTCTCCTTTCCTAAATTCTCAATTTCTTCCTCTTGGAAGGTTCAATATGTCTACTGATAAACTTGCCCAGTACTTCCACTCTAGAAGACCATGTTTTGAAGGTCACCACCTTTCCGTTCTGCATTAAATACTCCCTGAACCCCCACCCCCTGCAGGCTGCTCTCTTCAGCTTCTACCCCTGATGCTGCTCGTGCTAACATCACCAGTTACCCACTAGTCACCAAACCCAGTCGGTATGTTATAGAGCTTATGTCATGGTGGTGCTCACCTTAAAACAACCTCTGTGCCTGTGGCTGTTACAATATCTTACTTTTCTGTTTATTTCTCACATTTGACTATTTCTTTGTCTCCTTGGTGGGATCCTCTTCCTGTTTCAAGCTTCTGAATCTTGTTGGCCCTCAAGTTGAACATCTTTGGCCAACTATTCTTTGTATTTGACATATATTCCTGGGAAGTGGGTGTCATTCACCTTAAAGCTTCTACTCTACCACATATATGCTGATGATTCCCAAGTATTTAACTTAAGCTCAGTCATTAGCCCTGAGAATCAGAGGTATATAATCATGACTTTGGATATGACCAAGATGACTCAGGACTTTCCATCCTTCTTCTTCATCCATGCTTGGTTCCCTCTCTCAATGAAAGGCACTATCACCTATCCCGTAAACCAGGAGACAGTCTCCACTCCCTTCTTCCTCATAATCCTCAAATACGACTAAACTTACCTTGTGAATAGTTTTCAAATCTACCTTCTCTTTATAAACCCAAACATTGCCCTATCTCATGTACTTATCACTTCTGTTCTGATTCACTGTAGTGACCTAACTCATCTCTCTATTCTTGTCCTACCTTAAATCTATCTTCAACAAAGTAGTCAATGATCTACTGAAAACACAAGACCTGTGTAGGTCTTGCCTATAATCAAAAGCATTCAGTAGCTTCACTTCCCTATAAAATCAACACTAAATCCTTTAACATGAAGGTGGTTTATGCTATGTTACTCCAATTTCCCCCAAGCTCTTCTCTTTGAAGTTCCAGTATTACATTTTATATTTCAGCTATACCAAACTGCATGGAGTTCCTGGTACACTCAGTGCTATTTCTTATTCTTTTGCTTTTGTTGATGCTGTATTCTCTTCTCGACCAGCTCTCCCTCCCCTTCCACCTCTAAAATGGCCATTCATAGAGTCACTCCTCATTAGAGTCTCAGGTAAGGTGCACTTGCACAAGGAATCTTACCCTGGACACCAAGTTTGGGATAGGCTTCCTTTTTAGTTTCATATCACCCAAAGCACACCTGTGTAACTGCATTCTAGATAATGTTTTGCAATGTCTTGTGTGTCTGCCACAAGACTGTGAGTTCCTTAAAGAAAAAAGTGTTTGTTTTTGCATTTCCCATATCAAACAGATGGTGTTTAAATAATGGTTAATGATGAATGAATAAATGAATTCTTCTCAGGCCCATTGGCTTGAGAGCTTCAGTTACTTTCCAGGTACCAGATACACAAATGATGAGCTCACACCCCAGTACGAAAACAGGCAGCACAGCTAAATGCTTTCTGACCTTTCAGAGCTCCGAAAAGGGAAGGAAGAGAGAAGGAGGGCAAGTTGGTAAACTTACCCCTGGAGCAGAGCCTGCGCACAGCTGAGGCCGAGCTAAGTGGGAGACCACAGGAGGAGAGCAAAGGCCGGTACCCAGAGGTTCGAAGATTTTGGGAGGTGCTGACAAGCTTGGCTGGGTTCAAGGTAGAGTCCATTGAGTCTGAATGTGGCTCCAAGGACCGGATGAGACTATTTCCGAGGACAAACGTTTCACCTGGAAAATAGTAAAACCAGGTTTAAAGCAGGGCTTGGCGTAGGAGAACTTCCACAACACTGGTTAAAAGACACCTGTTTGGGTGAAGCAAGAAAGTAGCAAAACTGACAACCCTGAGCTGCTTTCAGGAGGTCTGTGTCAAAGGCCTGACTCTCCTCAGGTGACCTTCTTCATGTCTAATGTCACTCTAAGGACTTTGATCTCCTTAGAGACTCTTAGTCCTAGACAGTCTTTGGCATTTCTTTTGGTCTGGATGGCTTATACTTTTTCTGGATAAGGAGGACCTTAAAGAAATAGAGGCCTTCCCTAGTGGTGCAAGGGATCAAAGGGCAGCATTATGAAGCGATCTGCAGCCACTGAAGCCTGAGTTCCATCCCCAGCCAGGGAGGTGACCCAGGTGGTAATGTGGCAGACTTCTCCTGTCCTGCCTGCTTCTTCCCTTAGCAATGTATTTCAGTAGATTTGCCTGTTGTGTTCCCCACTCTGTCTCTGGTGAATCCTTTCATTCCCCCATGTTTTTGTATACATAAATAAATTTTCAAAAAAAAAAAAAATAGAGTAACCTAGGGTGGAAAGAGAAGCCTTATATACAAAATACAGGCACAGGGAGTAGTGGTGCTAAAAAAGAGATGTACTTGCTCAGATATTCAGCCAGCAGTTTGTCTAACAAATGCTCTTGATGCCTTGTCTGCAAAGGATAAGCTCTTATATCCCCTCCATCCTTTCACATCTGACATGTTTATAGAAACATTCCAAGGAAGCTGGGGCTTACAGTGGGGAGAGTGTAGGAACGGGAGCTGACTTACAGCTTGGCTCTGGCACTCAGCAGACAGGTGCTTCCCTTAGAAACTGTTTCCTCATCTCTAACATGGGAAGCCCATTTCTTCCAAAGGGCTATGATTATTAAAAGAGAATGGCTACAAAAGCTTCTGTAAAGGGACTCTCACCCTGACTTTTCTACACTCAGATCATGGCCCAACACTAAGCAGCAGCCCTTAATCACAGCTCTATGGAGCCTGAAGCAGACTCCCTCTTGTGACTGGGTTCTACATGTACCCAGCCAGTTCCTTGGCTCTGGCCACAGTACTTTCTGCCTTGAAGGGTATCGTGGGCACTGGGCTCTATCACTGTTACTTGTTATTTTTAGACATCAGTGTTTATATAATACTGTATATTCCTTTAGGGTCTCTAATGAACACTAAATAAAAAGCATTTTTTCCTATTTAAGAATTTTTTAAATGGAATGTAAGGCTCTTAACTATATGCAAGGTTGTTATATATAAAGAGATTATTTCTTTAATATACGATGACTGATAGGTAAAAACTGTGTAATATAAACCGAAGCAATCACTAAAATGAGAAAGAAAAGAGTTTCAGCCAATAAGCAAACAAAGGGAATAAAGTGGAATTATTTAAAAAACTGGATCAGCCCTCCCTGGTGGCACAGCGGGTTAAAGAGTGCACTAAGAAGCTTAAGCCACTTCCGCATGAGTTCGATTCCCGACTGCCCGGGAGGAGATCCACATGGCGAGGCAGACCTCTCCTGACCCGCCTGCTGCTCCCCTCAGCAGTGGATTTCATCGATCTGCCTATTCTGCTCCCCACTCTGTCTCTGGTGAATCCTCTCACCCTCCACATCTCTGGCCTGTACCCCAGTTCTATATGCATAAATAAATCTTAAAAAACAAAACAAAATTGGATTAATCCGGGCCCTCTCTGGTGGTACAGCGGGTTAAAGCACAGCACTAAGAAGCTAAAGTCACTACAGCATGAGTTCGATCCCCAGCCCAAGGTGACCCACATGGCACACCAGACCTCTCCAGATCCGCTTGCTGCTCCCCTCAGCAGTGCACTTCATCTGTTGGCCTATTCTGCTCACCACTTTGTCTCTGGTGAATCTTCTCACCGCCCCTGCACCTCTGGCCTGTACCCCAGTTCTGTATGCATAAATAAATCTTAAAAAAAAAAAAACCAAACTAACTGGATTAATCCACAGGAGAGAGAAAAAAGAAGAAAACAGAACATAAACAAATGAAACAAATGTCTTTACCCATGGCTTTTGCCCTTGGCCTGAGTTGCTAGAAGTATAGATATGGGCTTGATGATTTTTTTTAATGTAGCTAATTACACAAATGGTAAATAGAAGAACTCTAGTTTCTGTACTTAACCAGTGAGGTACCTAACCTTTCTGGCTCTCATTTTACTCAGCATAAACTGGGGGTAGTGCCATCTGCTTTACACAAGCTAGAAAAGGTGAAGAACAGTTGTGAGGGCAATGCCAGCAGCTTGCTAGATGTTTATGCAAATCAGTAAATTTTCCTTACTTTCAGCAATGCTAGCAGTGGTAACTGAGACCTAGATTCTGAGTTGAGGGGTCTGAAAACCTGGATACTTAAGACTAGGCAAGGTCCTTAAATCTCATCCTAATGAGATGTAAGTGGAAAAATAAAGAAGCTTGCCCAGTTAAAGCTACTCAAACGAGGCTCTGGGTGCCTCAGTAGGGTAAGGCCAAGGAATAAGCCCAGCGCTTTGAAGCTGTGCTCCACAGAGCCCTGGGGCCTCCAAAGGGAGGACAAGTGCATAGGGCTCTGGACTTCACCAGACTCCATCAAAATAGCTTTGGTTTTAACTGTGAAACACCATAATATCACATCCTTTCACCAGAACTCTCTCTCTCTCTCTCTCTCTTTTAAAGGTAAAAGCGTTCTGCTAAAATAAAACAAACTTTGAAACCAGGGGCCATAAGTTGGGGTTGGCAGACTTGAATTTTATTTCTGACATGATCAACCTGATGATTGCCTTTTTTTTGGAATTCAGTTTGCGCACCTATAAAATGGAGATAAAAACATTTAACCTCATAGGGTCAACATAAATAAGTTTGCTACTGACATACTGGAAACATGAGAACAATCAGAATGGAGGTGGGGGAAGCGTACCCATTCATTTAAAAAACATTCACAGAGTACCCATGTGTACAGTAATGAAAGACAAGGCCTAGGAACTGTTTAGAAGGGAAAAGCAAAGACAAAAAGAAACAAAATTATTTTGCCCAATTATTTGGAGTTGCATGATATTAGCAACTTGAAAAGGAGTTGGTATGGGTTTGAGAGAATAGGGAAATCAAATTGCCAATGCCATGCCATAAAAGGTAGAAAAATAAAGAAGGGTGGAAAACTGCTCTAGATAAAAGGAAATAAAGAGACAACTAAGTGAAGTAGGTGATTACTCATTGGATCGCAGATAAAAAAAAAAAAAACAGCTATAAAAGACACTATTGGGACAAGTGGGGAAATCTGATATGGATAATAGCTAGTAGTTTTTATTAACATTAAATTTCTTGAATGTAGTAATAGCATTAGGAGATAAATAGTTCCTAGGCAATTTATATACTTTTCTAATTTTTGTAAATAAAAATATTTCAAAATAATTTTTGTTTGTAATTTTTCAAAATAAAACATGGAAAGAAACAAATGTAGGTCTCAACTTAGGTAAGGAAGCCTACTGGGGTACACATTTGGTGACTATTGCTACATTGGAAGTGCACAGTTAATTAGGCCACGATTCTAAAGGAAAAGGTGGCATGGAGATGGGCTGTGGGAAGAGCAGGCTTCAGTAGTTACCTAGATACTGAGTGTATCTTTGGATGTCAAACTAGCAGAAGTGTACGTAGCAGAAGGGAGTGAGAAAGGTCGGGCCCAGAGGGCAAAGCAAAGACAGCCCTTGTAGAGATCACATTTTTGGGCAAAGGTTTGGGTAAGTAAGCAGAAAAGTAAAGGCAATGATAAATGACCAGAAGCGGAACAAAGGGTCAGTAGGGCAGGCATTAGGCAGGCAGGCAGGCAAGGTTAAGTGCAAGGGCACAGAGGAACTGGAATTCTAGGCAAAGCTCTGCCTTGTCTGGGCACACATAAGCCACTCATTTCAGGGAAGCATACAGAATTAGGGGGAGAACAGAAAAGCCGCTGAGCACCTATTATGAGAAATGGAGGTCAGAGAGCACTGGAGGGCAGAGAGTTGGTGCATGTGTCTGTAAATGAGGAAAGAGGAGGTTGGCAGCCAGCGGCAGAGTGTGGGAACCCAGGCCTTTGTCTCCTTTTAGTTGGTAAAGCAAGGAGTAAGGGTGGCTGAAGATCCCTCTTCTCTGGTAGTTGGTCAGAGAGCTGCAAACTGGAGTGGAATTCCCAAGAGCGACCCTGCCTCACCCCCAGCTACTCTGCAGGCTCATGGGCCCCCACTGGGCTCCACATGCTGCCTCCAGAATGCTTTCTTAGTTCTTCATGACGTTACTTCAGTTGAGAATACCTATTTCCTTGACAAAAATCTCTCTTTAGAGGAGCATCTATGCTCACAGACATGCTACCCCTCTCATTCTTCCAGAATCCCAGGCAGGAATAATTTTCATTACTTCAGAGTTCTGAATGCCAAAAGTTGTGGCTATTTAACCACCTTGCTTTGTCTGTATCAACCTCATCAAGCTTAGTCCCCAGACCTATAGCACCGCATTTTAACTGCAAGCAAGGTCTTTCTTTCCTCGGAGATTCTGATGCTGAAAGTAAGCAATCTACAACAGGTTAGGGAAGAAGATTCCTTTGAAGAAAGAATGGGTGAGGGGGCTAAATACCTACTTCAGAGGACAGACAGTTTGGCCTCCATAACAAGTCTTTGAAATTCAGGTTTCTTAGTAATGCAAGTAATATAAATAATGCTCACAGGGCATGGAAGGACAGAAGAGGGTGGAGGTGGATAGATGAACAGTTACTTCCCCAAGCACTTTCTCTACAGAGTAGCACTCTGCAGAAGTAATTCTGTTAATAAGTATGATAAAAAGATTACAGGGAAAGGCAGTGTGGGAATGAGACTTGTGCAGAAGGGCAGAGCCTTACAGCTTATGCTACCCAATCCATAGCCAGCACAGGCCCAGCACTGACAAGTACCACCTCTTTATTCCTCTGGCCAGGACAAGGAAGCAACTCTTAAAGGGCCTTCCTCCCTTTCAGCAGTGACCTACCTCACTATGTTAGGGTCGCACTTTCCTTCCCACCCTGTCGTTCTGTATCCTGGGCTCCAGAAAAAGATGCCGATTCCCATTCACTCTTTAACCTCTCTCTCGGAAGTGCTTAGTCACTGATCTGGCCACGTGGCATCCGCTTTCCCCTTCTGGGTCTCATATGTTAACTAAGAAAGTTATTTTCCAGCCTAGTTAGAAAAGCAGGAACTTGAATTGACTTGCTAGACTGGCAGTGCTGGAGGAGTTAGGGCCATGTGCCAAAGGAAAGAATGGATGGCCAATCACCAGGGAGTAAGTTTCTCAATCTGCAGCCTGAGACTAAACCTTCCTGCTGGCAAAGGAGATGTCTGTTAGGCCTTTGCTGCCAGATTCACATTGGGAGCTGTACTGTGACTTCACGGTAGCTCCACATGCAGTTTGGAGCTCAAAAGGGGAATCGTGAATTACCCTTTCCTGGGGATAAAAGTCCAGAGGAAAGAAGGTTAATTCTAGAGACTGGAAATGAAATCCTGAAGAGAGAGTGAAGAGACCAAAAAGTCTCAATCAACATGGCAAAGGTCAGGACAAAACAGCAGGTCACTGGTTAGCAGATGCCAGGCTAGAATCGAGTTCCAAGGGTCGCTTCTCGGCCCTTGCTGGTGCTGCCACTAGCTCTCTCCCCTCCTTAGTCCAGACCCCATCCCAGCTCCTACCTGGTAGGTACCTGTCGTGGCTGTGGCTGTACTCTGTGGTAGACAGTGACAAGTGTGTCTGTGTAAAGGGCTGGTTGCCAAACAGATTGTCACTGCGAAGGTTGTGGCAGAGTTTCTCCAGGAAACGGAGGACGTAGGTGATGCTGTTGACTGCTGGGAGGTTGAGGGTGTGCTGTTCCCGGTCAAACACGGCTGTGGAGTTAAGTAAACAGGGCTGAGCATGTCAGTGGGGCAATGCAGCACAGAGCTTGGGCAGGAGAGATCCAGCCCACTGTTTGCCTCAGGCTTACCTGGTTACACAGCCCTCGCCCAGGTTCCTCCCTCCCTCCCTCCCTCCCTCTGGGGTTTGATTTTTGTCTCCAACTCCAAAAGGCTTGCAATAATGGGAGTGGCCAGGACAAGTCTGTTGCACCTAGGGCTCTGGAATGATTTTGATCAACCTGTGAAAACAACTGTGGACATAATTCTATCTGGTCCATCACCTGCATTAGCCTTCTCCAGGAAATCTGATCCTTTTGGGCACTGTTTCCCAAGAAGGGAAGAATCTGGGCAGAAGAGAAGGATATAGGTATTGCCAGTAAGGATTTGGTTGCACAATCCAATCTGTAAAAGGCATGTGGATGTAGATCCACATGTGGTAACATGTGGATCTAAATCATGCTTGTATTTATTTTTATTCATTTATTTCTACTCAAAAAGTGTCCTTATAATCTCTAGAAAGCAAAAGTCCCCTGTGTTTGTCTCTGAGGGTAGCAAGGAAATAAATTTTAGGAATAAATCTTGGGGGCAGAGGAAGAACCCTAGAGATGCAGGTGGTAGCAGCTAAAGAGGAGATAAAGAATCGTAGGTCCCACAGAATGCCACCCAGATGCAAAGGAGACACAGGGAGTGGCCTGGGCCTCAGCAGGGAAAGAAGGCCCAGTTGCATGCAGTTCTGAGCCTTCCACAATAATTTCCTCAATGCCTGCCCCCATCTCCATGCAGTCAATTACTCCCAGTCACTTACTCTCTCCTCTGGGCTCCTCTACCGCCCTGCACCCATTTCTCTATTACAACATTTCTTATAGTCCACTGTGAGGTATTATTTACCACCATACCAGAACCCAAGACTGTCATCTTTTCTCCCTCTCCCACAGCTAGTGTCTGCCAATAACCTCTCACATATAGCAAGGATTCCATAAATGTGTGCTTAAAAAATAAAATAGGTTAATTATAGGGCTTCCCCAAGTAAGCTCAGTTTTCTGAGGCTAGATATTACAATTAGGTAGGGAGGAGAGGCAGGGGACTATGTTAGCTTGAGTCATAGGTTTAATGCATTTTGCAGGACAATACAAGGTGAAGAATAGAGTCTGGATTTGGGAAAAAGAGCCAGAGTCAGGGTACAGGAGAAAAAAGTGAATATTCTTAGTGAATGAAAAGAAAAAAACCCCAACACTTGCAGCTGAGTCACAGCAGGTAAGAAAGAGGAAATGACCCTTCCAACTCGGAATCAAGGCTAAAGATTGGGGCTAAGGAATGAAATGAATGAGAAAAGTGATTTGTGCTTTTCTGATGGGAGGTTATGGCCATCTGGAGAAACTTTCCTGACGCCACAACTTGGATTATTTCTTCTGGAATGCCTTCAATGCAGCACACTCACATATTTCCTATATGGGACAGGCTAAGCAGATAGACAGGATAGGTGTCCCTTAAATCCAGTCTGGGTAGGTATCATACTTGGCAGATATAAGCATAAGGCCCAAAAGATCTTAGGAGTAGAAAATGGGCAGTCTCTGAGGAAAAGAATGTCTTCACGACTCTTCAGAGACTCAAGGTGTGAAGTAGGAACCAGGATTCCTTGTCAGAAATCAGCCAGTGGAGAAGGTCTGTCTTCTGACTACAAGGTATATCAACCCAAGGTGCTTACCTGAGATAATCTCACCACTGTGGCCTTGTTTGAGGAAGCTGAAGACAGTTTTCTGGTGATAAGCACAGTCTATGCAAGCCTGGACAGCCTGCTGTAACACCACAGAGGCACGGGCGGGCCCAAAATGGTCAGGGAGCTGCTGGACCTTCTTCTTGTCTAAGTGGGGGCCTGTGCTGCCGTTCTTGTTCAAGTAAATACAAACTGCAAGAGACAAAAAGGCAAAGAAGCTTAGAGCACATTCATGGTAGAGAAGGTGGAGAATGATTTTCTCTTCAGTTTTCATGCCTGTGTGCTCTGATGCTTAGCAGGATTCCCAGCTGCCAAGGGGGAGTAGGAGGAGAGTGGTTGTGCCCAGCTGCTGCCAGCCCAAATGCATGACCAAAGGCTCTGGGCATATAGCCTGCTGGGAAAATAACCCAGAACTTGCATTGTTTTCTGTGCACTGAAAAGAAAATCTGAACCATTTCCCAAATGTAAGTACTTTCATTTTGGGTATCTGGTTGCCTCACATATTCTTTGTATGTCTTATGTGTAAGGAGCTATGGGGCCACAGCAATATTACCAAGAGTGTGCTTGTGTGTGTTTGGTCAATGACACCAGTCACCCGCTTTGCTTTCTAGCTGGGCACTGACGTCCTTTTATCTTCTAAATCAACATGTAGTAAACATATGGAATAAAGAAAAAATATGAAAAGAACTTGAGGGTCCCATCCAAGAATGTGTTTCAGTAATTTCTCTGCAAGAGAGCTGGAAAATCTGCTAATTGTACCACCCCCACCTCCTCCAACACACACACACACCTGGCACTGCGGTAGAGACAGTATGGTGCCAAAGAAGAGGCAGTGCTAACAGAGCTGCTTCCTCAATCTCTGGATAAGATCCAAAGAAAGCCCAGTTAGCGATGACGTTCTCTCTTCTGATTTCTCTTCTAGGCTTGCACATGAGCTAGGGGGTGGAATACTCTTTTTCCCCTCACACTGTCATGGCTTACTGGTGGAAGGGATAATAGGACTAAAATTCCCTTTTGCTATTAATGGCAAAAAAAAAGGTAAGAATAGTAGCTATGTGGGCTGTGGATGGACTTCTGGCCTCAGACTTATGACCTGAGGGGTTTGGGCCAGGTGGCTAAGGACACTTGTATCTTTACCATTCTAATTCTAAGGAGAAGTAAGGTGTAGGATACAGAACACAGAAAAGAAGGCAGGGTGGCAGGGTACAGAAGGTGACAGGTGAAAAAGAAATTGAAAAAAGTAAAGGAGTAACAAGATGAACTGAAATATGTATTTAACTATTCTCTCCTAAAACCCATTAAGATGAGTCAGTTAATAAGGAGACAAGATAAAATTTTGGAACTGGAAAAGCAGACTGGCAATTAGCAACTGATTTAGCATACATGAGAAAGCTCGACACTAACAAAGAGTCAGGCATGATGAGAACCACGCAGTTTCATTTTATAATTCATAAAAGGTACAAAAATGCCCCTGAAAGTGCATGTGAAGGTAGATCTAATCAGAAAAGGAATGAAATCTATTAATAAATAAGATTTCTATTCTATTAATAAGATGCTTTCATTGAAAACAAAAATGAAAATGTAGATTAGAACAATAAGGAAAATGAAAACACTATATGTAAAAAGACACTTACAATAATGTTCACTGCAGCTTACTCAAAATAGCCCAAAACTAGAACCAACCCATGCTCATCAACAAAAGACTAGGTATACAACTTGTGTTATACTCATTTGTTGGAACATCTACTGGCTGTAAAAAAGAATGAATTATTGAAGTATTAATAATAATTCTTGAACACATCACTTCGAATGAAAGAAACCAGGTTCAATAAAGAGTACATACAGTAGGATTCAATTTATATTAAGTGCAAGAACAGAAAAATCTAAAACATATGAATAGCAATCAGAATAAAGATGTGAATGAAGACAGACTATGAGGAGTCATGCGGTAACTTCTGGGGTGGTAGAAATAACCTTCATTATCTATATTGTAGTTGTGATTATATGGGTATTTATAAAAACTTACCAAACTGTCCATTTAAGGTCTATATATTTCACTACATGTTAATTTTACCCAATTACAAGGTACAAAAAGAAAAATAATCCTAAGTGGATTAAAGGGTAAAACTATAAAGGACAAACTATAACTCCTTTAGAAGAGTTTGGCAGTTTTAAAATATGATCTGTAAATTCTTTAATCTATCTCCCATTGCAGGTCTCCATTACACCTGACCAATAGACAGATGAGGATGGAAATGATAGACAGCTTTAAAAAGTAGAAGTTAATGTCAGACACAAAAGCACAAAAAAAAACAAGCAAGTGGGTTGTCTCTTGAAAAATGCCCAATGCTTAAAAAAAAAAAAAAATTAAAGAGGCAATATAAAAATGCTGCTTACATGTATGGAGGGAATAGAACCATATGAATTAAGAACAATGGCATTTGGTGAGATGTATTGACAGGAGTAAGGGGAGGTTTGTTTTGTTTCATAATTTGTGTAGACCCATTATTCCTTTAAACTATGAACATGCATACTTGACTGATAAAAATGTCTCATAAAAAGTGTTGCAGTTAAAAAATGAAAAGTAGGTAATAAAGGATATGAAGTGGCACATAACTTTCAATCTATGACAGCTTTTATTATTATCTGAAGAGATGATAAAGTGGGCTAATACTCTCATTGTATCAATATGGAAACTGAGGCTCAGAAAGGGAAGTAGTATCATGTTCACACAGAATGAATGAAGGCCCAGTCAGGATATGGAGAACAGTGATCAGTCAAGACTGCTACAGCTTGGCAAAGCGCAGAAGACAGGAATACAAAGCACCTCCCACTTTTTCCAGGCTGAGACTGAGCCAGGGAGGCATGCCAGCCCAGCGACCACCTCATATAAAAGGAACACTGCAGCACATTCACAGAGCTCCCACTGCCGGAGTCTTCTAGGTGTTGTGGAGAAGTCACCTAGGTGGCATCTAGAATGATGGAAGTGGGGTAAACCAAACAGAATCACGGGTATCCAGGGGGCATAGCGTGCAGCTGGAAAATGTAATCAATATTTTCACTAAGGTGTTCATCTGCCCTTACTTCCTCCTCCATGGAGCTGAGGTGCAAAGGCCACTGTACATTAGTCTAATGACACTCGTAGCAGGCAAACCTATAACTGACAGGCTATCTGCAGATGACATATTGGGGGAAGTCATGTGATAGGATCCTGACCAGAGCTTGACATTAATACCACAGGCCAGCTCTTTGTCTTCCAAAATTTATTTGGAAAGGAAATTTTGGCTGGCCTTCCTTTCTAGCTCTAACATTGTAGGATTTGGGTGGGCATGTACCGATTTCCTTCTAAGAAAATGACCTTTTTAGGTTCCATGGAGGAATCATTCCAAATCGCTTAGGCTCTTCTAAAGAAGATGGAGCATAAGCAGCATAACAAGATGGTTTCACACATGTATCTTAATTTACACGTAAGTAATAAGCACTATTTTTCTAGTTACCCTACTGGAGTGTTGTGTATATATTCTAAAGGGGTATTTCTCTTAGAGTTATCCATAGTTTATGAAAAGGGACAGACAGGCATAGACCAGGGTGACTACCTGCTGTGATAGTATGCTTTACAGAAGCATGTATTTGGCCATTCAGGTGACCAAGATATATCTCTCATATATACTTGGCCTTTATCCACAGTTCCCAGCTCACAGCTCCCTAATCGTGAAATTTCCTAAATGTTGTAAATGATAAAGATGTGTTAATGAAAGTGAATTCTGGGTAGCACATAGGGATGGGGCTGATTGCCTAGAGAACCAATCATGTGATCAGAGGTTCTACCTTCACATCGCCAGTTCTATCCCCAGACCTCCAGTGGGGGGAGATGGGTTAGAGGTTGTGTTCAACTGCCAATGGCCACTGGTCCAGTCAGTCATGTCTAAATAATGAGCCCATAAAAACAAGAGTGGAGCAGGCTGTGAGTATGTTCAGGCGGGTGAACATGTGCAGACCCAGGAGAGTGGCAGGTCTGGAGGACATGGAGCTCTGCACATCTCTCCCACCCTGTTATTCCTGAGCAATACAGCCTTAGTAACAAATTGGTTACGTAATAAGTAAACAGTTTCCTGAGTTCTGTGAGGTGCTCTAGCAAGTGAATCTAACTGAGGAGGGGTTTCTGGGAACCTCTGATTTACAGTCAAGTCAGTCAGAAGCACCGAACAGCCTGGGAGTGCAGCCGGCCTCAGACGTGGTGGACAGTCTTGGCAAACTGAGCTGAGCCCTTTCCTGTGCAAACAGATGTTGTCTTGGGTAGAGTTGTCAGAATTGAGCTGTTGGTGTGGGAAATCTCCAAACAATCACATTAGGTTTGGGTTCAGTGAACCCTATTCACTCACATTTTGCTCTGAATCAAACATTCATTAACCCCAAATCAAGTTCACACTTACAGTACCAAGGTTTGCCCCAACAGTGATGCTAAGAAAAATTAAAGCATTCATGTATGTTTGGGAGGTAGAGTGATAGAGGGATTACTGCAATGCAAGGAGGAATCCCTAAGAAAGGAGCATCCTAAGTGGAAAGGATGAGTGTTTTTACAAATTGGGTCAGGGAGCTTCCTGGTGCTGGCTCTAGTTCCACACCAACCAAAGGCTGGTCACAGTTACTCAATCCTGATGTTCTTTGATTGTTCTGACAGTGTGAAATTTCTCTGAAACTATTTCAAATGGCCAAAGATAAAAAAATATTTAAAAAGTTTCTATTTAGGTTTATCAATTAGACAGGGGCTAATTATTAGTACAAGACAAGAGAGTACACTGGAGCCTGGGGCTTGCTACAGTCAGTCTAGTGGTCTGCTCTTACCTGTGGGGGCCTGCATGGCTGAGCTGGGGATGGTGGCAGCATCTTGGGGTACAGTGCTGGTATCCGGTTCAGGGGTGCTGGTTGTTGGTGAGGTGGGTGGTGGGTTCAGCAAATTCCGAGGTTTCCTCTGTCAAAATGGATGGGGAAAGGTTGCTACCCATGATTGGTAACTTGTTTTCTCATTCTTCTATTCCTAGCATTTAACATACCTATGAAACTGAAGTCTTTTTGTAGATGTGACTGCATCTTATCTTTGTTTTCCAGTCTCTTACACAAGGATATTTAGATGCCCAGCAAACATTTTTTTGACCCTATGTCCAAAATTCTGAACTTCTATATGACCAGAGCTTAATTCACTGTCTTTTATACTAGAATCAATACTACCATTTGTAGCGTCAGGTTCCATATTAATTGGGAAAAGAAAAACAAAAAAAAAAGAAAAAAATATGGTGGCTAAGTCTACTTTGATATTACTTGTGTTTTGTTTCTCTTTCTTGAAAAATGCAAACATCTCTCCCCATAACTCTATCTACTTTCCTCTTTTTTCCTACTTTTCAGCTCTTCACCTGTCATTCCTTATCTTAAAACCTATACTCTCATAATCTCTAACTATTGGGCTATCTGAAAAGTCATTGAGATATTTTTACATAGAAAACATAAAAAAAAAATCATGACTTTTCCAACAACCTAATACATTCTCTAAATCCTTGCCTGGTCCATGTCTTCACAATAATAACAAATCCTATCCACCTAGAATGTCTTTTTTTTTTTTAAAGCTTTACAAAAATCTGTTTATCTAGGAAGACTTTCTAATTAGCATCTAATTAGATTTCCTAATTAGCATCTCTTTTGCACAATCTCTATACTTTGTATTGTTACATTTGTCACAATGCGCTATCACATATTATACGTGTATATTAATATATACACACATATCATACACATATTTAGACACATCTATACTGGGGTCCCCTACTAGCCCCTTGAGGGTTTGATTTTGACTACCATTCCTTGCATGACACCTGGCATATAATAATAATGTCAGTGAAATGTTTTTTACTGAGGCACACGGTATAGAATACTAACAATGTGGGAAGCAATAAAGATGATTTGAGAGAAATGTAGTATCACTTCTATGCTGTTCAGGGAAGTTTCTGGGGAATAAATACCTCAGAAATTTATTTTGAAGAAATAGTTTTCTAAGAGACTTTTTGAGTACAAGGAAAACAACTGAGTTACAGACACCCCTTTTTATCAAATGTCTGTCTCATGTAGTGTCCACAGCTAGGAGCTATATAAATCTGTCTGCCTTCTAGAAGTGTATTATCTAATGAGATAGCATCAATGACAGCAGGTATATAAAAATGATCTTACCTGTAAAAATAATAATGCAAACACTCATGAAATACTCAAACCACATATGGGGTGATATGGATATCCCATGTTTTTTGATACTGCTAAAAGTGAATATCCAATAAACAATGTATCAGAGAAGAAGAGAAATATCAGTTCATTTTTTAATGAACTTGGAATATGATTTCATGGAGTCCCTGAAGGAACATGTCTGGTGAATTAGGTATCCAAATATTAAAGATGAAAACAGAAAGATGGAAGGAACTATTACTATTTGAGATAGGTGCACTTAAACACATTAAATTTGTTCATCCATTGTCTCATCTCCATTTTATTAGTGAGAAAAATTTAAGTCTTATTCAAAATATTTCTCAAAATCACACAGGTGGAAACAATGATGAGACATAAATCTAAGTTTGTTTGGATTTAAAGCCTAGGTCCTAGTCACAAAGGAACACAGAGTCATGAGTTAAATGGGAAGGATATATATGTATAGGAATAAGAAAAGAACAGAAAGAGGAATTAGGAAGTCAAATGCCCAAGCCATAAAATACAAGGCAAGATGAAAGTCATTGTTCACAAGAGGGCTGGAAAGAAAGAGGACTCTGGCTACTTGATTAGGACTGTCTGAGAAAGAAGAGCAAAAGCAATCAGAGTCACAATTTTAGGTTTTAAAGGATCTAAAGGTCAGTTAATCTAACTAAACATCCAATACTTTTGCTTCCTTCTCTAAAAGTCCCCTCCCATCTAGCCATTCAGTACTCGATGAAATTCCTCTAGTGATGTGAGTCACTAATTTCATTTTGGGACAGATTAAACTGTTGTTGTTGTTTTTTTTTTTTTATGTAGAGAGGAGAACTGTCTACTTGTTTCTGCTTAGTGGCTATGGTTTTGTCTGGAAACTTACAGAGAAGATTTCTACCTTTTTGATTTGTCTCCCAGATGTTTTCACATCATCAGAAGACTCTGGTCTTAAGAATCTTTAAGATCTTCAGCCTCTCCTCTACAACATGAGAATGGGAAGAGAGTAATGGAGATAAAAATGAATCAGGACTGCATTAAGGGTTAGTGGTAATAGGTCAGAAGCACTGAAGATGAAGATGTGACATACAGAATTCAAAGAAACGATCTCAATTGGAATATCATCACTAAAATCATCACCTACCACACTCCTCCCTCCCTCTTTCCAATCACTGTGCATATACTGACTGTCTCCCAAGAAACTGAGATATACAGCTCTGTAGGAGGAAAAAGGAAGATATAGATTAGGTTCTCAATCTTGAGGCGTTAATATTCTAGTAGGACTGATGTCAGCTGGAGCAAATAAACAAAACAAAAACAACCAACTGCCTCTAGGGAAGAATTTAGGAGACTGCTTGAACACCTGGCAGAGAGGACTAAGTAGCATTCCCATACTGGACCTCACACCATCCAGGTTCAGACGGGGCTGTCAAGAACTGGTCATGACTAAAAGGCGGTTAACTACAGGAACAGGGTCATTCGATGAAGTATGACTCAGCAGTCTTTTCTACACAGCCGTGTTTTCTCCTTCAGGAAATATAGCAGAATGAATTAAGTGGTAGGACAGCAGTAACCCTGAATCTAGAAAATCTGGGAACCCATTTCTATAGCCTTTACCACTTGTTAGCTATGTTAGCTTAGAGAAGTCATTTCACATCTCTAACTCTCAATTTAATTATTAAACAACATTAACATTACCTATCTCTAGGATTTTGTGAAGATTATGTGATATGTAGGTAATGGTGTCTGATATAGAATGTGATACGAAGGTATTCAATAGTTTTTTATTTTAAAAGAAACTGATTTGCTTTGTCTGATCACATGCCTGAGTATCCACTCTGAGCAGTTAACATGGAATAGAGCTTTCCATCCATGGCAGATGTGAGGCTAGAATTCTGTCAAATGTGAATAACTTTCAAAGTCAAAATTTGCTTCTTATTCAATACTATCCTATTACTAATATTATCAACTACCAGGTAAACAGCTAAGTAGGGATGTCAACCTAGCCCTTCCCCAAGATGTACAAGAATCTCTTTCTGGGAAACCCACATATTTTTACCTACCTTACTGCCAGGTTTGGGACCCCTCTTCTTTGGAAATTTCAAAGGTTCAGTTGCCTTGGATGGGGCTGAGATGGAATGGGGACTGAGGGGCTTGGGTGCCCGGCCCCGCTTCTTCCCTGCTTTACGGCCCTTCGGCCCTGGTTGATGCTCCAAGACAGTTTCGGTGCTGCCGTGGATGCCAGGCTTCTCAGCGTTCACCTCAGATACAGGACAGGGGTTCTTTGGGATCACGACTGCAAGAAAAAAGATCATTCTGTCACCCCCTTCTTCCCACCTATATTCTCATACCAAACAGAGAACAAAAGATACACTACTTTCACTTGGGTAGTTTTATGTCAAGAAGCTAATTTCCTGGTATCTGACCTAAAAGTTAGGAAACCCCAGAGGAAAATTGAATTTAGATCGATTAGAATTGAAAGTTTTAAATACTTCGGGCAGAAAAAAGATATTAAAAATTTCTACAAGGTATCTAGTTAAAGCATACAAATGGAACATTAGTTCTAAAATGTAGTGGCTCATAGAATCTTACAAAGTTCTCCTGCCAAAAACAAAGAACTGAGGCTCAGAAGAGGAAATGATGCCTTTCCCAGGTTACACAAAAAGTTAGAATAAAGACTTATGTTTTGAAAATAGGTTCTGACAACCAATGTAGGGATTTCCTATGTCAATCTACTTAATTTGTTTTAGTGTGATTACTGCAGTGAGTAGTTAAGTATATGCATCTAATACTATCTCTCCATACCTTAAAAACCTTTGTTTCATATTACCTTTAAGGTAAAGTTCAAATTTTTTATCTTAATATCCAAGATCTCTTGTGACTTTGCCTATGGCTTCTTCTCTTAGTTACGATTAATGTTACTTCCTGTCACTCACCCCCATTTTCTAGTCCCACTGCTTTCTGAACACCAGTTCATTCATACAGATGGAGTTCTCTATTCTTCCTGATCAGACATTTATCAACATGCAGCTCCTTGGCCACCTCCTTATTGAGGCCTTCTCTGACACTGCGCCCTACTCAAAAGCAGTCAGTAGATATTTATGCTAGACTTTCAACTTTACTCCATTCATTCATCTTCGTAAATGGAAAACTCTTCACGTAAGGGATATATAATTAATTCTACAAACCGTGATTGTCACTTACTATTGGTTATGCAACTGTTCTAAGTCTGGGGAAGAGTAAAGAAAACAGACACATTCTCCCTCTAGTGGATGACAGAAAATAGACAAATAAATGGTATCATGGCAAGTAAATGCTCTGATTAAAACTGAAGCAAAATAAGAACATAGAGGGGGAGGAAAGTCCTTGTTGAGAAGTGAAATCTACACAGAACTCCCATATGAAATAAAGGGAAAGTCTTTGAAGTTTTGAGAAAAGACTTTTCCAAATAAGAGGACCTACAACAAATACTAAGATGCTAAGATAGGAACACATTAGTATATTTTAGAAACAAGAGTTCAGTAGAGCTAGAACTGAGCAAGCAAAGGGAAATTAGGTTAGAGAAATTAGGTAAGATAGTATAGGGCTCCTTCTCTATACTATAAGATAGTATAGGGCTTATTTCAAATGAATGTGAACTTATTCTCAGTATGAACAGATGTTGCTGGAGTGTTCTGAGGAGGGGAATGATAGGATGTGCTGAAAGGAACATTCCTCTCTGAATGACTGCCCTAGGAGGGAATGGGGACAAGAACAGAACTAGGGAAACTAGTACTAATTATAGTAGGCAGGTAGAAGACAATATTTCTTATGCTTTTAGGTATAATGCAATAGATCGTGGCAGTACGATGCTGCCTATGCAAGGGCTGGAAAGTTACAAGATTTGTGGAAGTAGAGATTCATGGTTGAATGCCCAGGGAGCAGGTATAGGCTGAATATTAATGAAGGAATCAGGAGCACTGCCAGTAAGGGTGCTTGAGTACATCAAACAGCCCTTGCTGATACTGCACTTATCTAAGGTGGTGACTGTCAACTTGAAGTTGCAGGCCTCAGATAGAGGTAGCTGGAGCTTGGGCTTGTGGGGAAGGTCTGAGCAAAGAACTTGATGTTCTTTCACATAAGCACATCCTGCACAACTGGCTTCTGCATGTATGAAACACTTGTCCCACTCCTGGCCTGAGGCCACTGCTGAGACAACATTCACTTGCAGCGCTCACTGCCTCCAATCAGAGTTTAAAGCGCCTATCTTATAGAAGCCTGCGTGGAAGGAAGGCACAGAGGACCAAATCTTAACCACTAGGCCACCAGGGAAGGCTCAGCACTTCAAGGCTTCTGAGAACAGCCTTAGCTCTACCTTGACCAAACCCCTCTCCTGACACAATCCCTGGGGAAGGGACTGAGGAGGGCTACAAGGGAAGTAGACTTTTACTGGCAGCACATGTAGACCATGAGAAACATGTCTCTCATTCACTTCTGACTGCAATTCAGAAAAAAATTCAGAGAGAAAAGGTATGCAAAACACATATCAGGGGAAATAACATCCAGAATCTGTAATAAAAGACTAACAACACAACTCTCCTATTCCATTAAAACCCTAAGTAATGAAATGTCAAACACTACCTTAAATTTATGAACCATAAACTCCACTACCTGCTATGTATCCTACAATAGGCCAGGGAATTTAGTATGGGCAAGGAGATAAGTGATTTACTTTGGAATTCTTGCTATCACATGACAAGGTGCTGAGTTCTCAGCACATGTTTGTAAAATAAAGAAAGGAAAAAGAAAAACTGAATAGAGCTTTCCTTAACCTTTTAGTAATAGCTTTCTTCTTCCCTTTTCCCTTAAGGCTAAGCATAACAATCTATGCCAACTGACAGAAGTTGCCCTCTCTGACCTGAGAGATCTGAAAATAAACTAACCAATTATATTTAACATTCTAAAAAATCAGGTCATGAGGTTATATGTGAGTAGCTAGTAGTGATATTAGTTTTCATACTAATTTAAAAGCTTCTTAATAATGAATTTGAGCTATCCTGAGGGAACCAGGATTTGGAACTTCTTCCCATCAGGAAGTCCTGTTCTGTCACATTCTAACTTAATTATCCTAGTTGGGAAAAAAAAAGGGACAATGTCAAGGGACGATGGATCTAATTCTAGTTCTATACTTTATAGTGTAACCTTGATTTTGTCATTTAAACACAATTTTCTTCTCATTTTATTAAATGCAAATAATTAAACCATTTAATGACTGTCCTACTTCAGAGAAAAAGAAGAAGCGGGAATATTTGCCAACACATTTTGATGCTACTAATTGACAGAATTAGAACTTACTGAATAATACCTTGACAATAATTTTGTATAGCTAGTTTCCTGTAATCTTTCTAACAATCTTGTGAAGGCTAACATTATCATCTTCTTTAACAAATGAGGAAAGAAAGTCTCAGAGAAGTGAGAAGTAGCAGAATCTGTTATGATTCTAGCTTTAGGAGCCTAAATATATTATGCTCTCTCTTAGGAGCTCAGGAAGTTAAAATTCATGTTAGTTAATAAATCAGTTGCAAAGTTAGTAAATACTAACTTTTGTAAATACTAAGTAAAGTTAGTAAATACTAAGTGAAATCTTGCCAATTACCTAAGGTTAAAATCCAGCATGGTATGATTCTTTACCTAGAGAAGCACAATCTTAAGAAGGTTAGTTAAGTTTTTATAAAGTCAATCACAATTCAGTGGGTAAGGACCTGGGTAGAGAAGATACAAGTGGAAAGTGAGTAAGAGTACTTCAGTATGTAGACAGACCTAAAGCTGTGATAAAGCATGGTTGTATGAAGACATACAGGTAGTTCTGTATGGCTCAAGTCCATAAGGAGAAACAGTTAAGGTTAGAAAGAGATGCGATGGCCAGTATGTCTGGCCATATGATATTAAAGGAACTTTCCAGCCAAAAGACAGAGAGGGTACATGGCCCTTTTACCCTTCCTAATGGCAATGGTGAAGTTCATTATAAAGGTAGAAAACACACCTAAGGCAGTGTAGTAGCTCACAAATATGTAGACTGGTTTCCCTCCCTTGAAAAACTTCTGGTCTGTGCATGAAGGCTTGAGATTCCCTTGGTCATAATAATGACGAATAAATATTGCTGCTATGAAACTTTAAGACCAAGAATGGAGAAAGGAATTACTTTATACATGGGTGCCCCCAATGTTGATGTTAATTTTTCTTAAAAGCATCTAAGATTAATCAAATACCTCCCCTGAAAGAGGTGGCATATTATTTGCAATGGCAGTATGGACAACCATGAATAAAATGTTATAGGGTGTGTAAGCAGCGGTAAGTACTGGCAATTAAAACAATGAATTTTAAAGTCTTGACTATAAAGCATGCATCATTATTTCTAATAAATAAGGCAACTGAAGCTTGAGTAACTGGCCAAGGGCACAAAAGTAATGAGGCAGGCCTGGAATTTAAATTCAGGAAGTCTAACTCCAAAGTTCTTACTCTTTCCATCATATCATACAGTTTTTCTCTTACTAACTCAAGATCTATTCATTTAGTAATTCATCCAACACATATTCTACATTGAGAATCTACTGTTGCTGCTTTCTCTTGGGGTTGGGGGAGGGTCTTGGAGAGGTCCAGCCACTTGTGAAAGTGGTGTGTGGTGGGGCAGCTCATGCCTGTACTAATCCATTGTGAACAACTTCCCCTATGAAAACTATCATATTTAATTTTCTATGGCTGACCAGCTGGTAATTACTGGTCTGGAAAACAGACTTCTATTGTTCAGATATACAGTTAAGTAGATATTAGTGCTTTGAAGGATATATCTCACACTTTTTATACTTCTTCTTCTACTCTCAACATATATATCAAATGCTACCCTACAGTTGCTAGGGTAAGAATGGGTCCTGGAATTTCTGGTAGATTTCACTGAGCATTTATTTCCAAATTCACTGATAGAAATGCTTACATGAGGCCCTCCCTGGTGGCGCAGCGGGTTAAAGCACAGCACTAAGAGGCTAAAGCCACTTTCGCATGAGTTTGATTCCTGCCTGCTCCCGAGGTGACCACATGGCGTGGCCCGCCCGCTGCTCCCCTCAGCAGTGTACTTCGTGGATCTGCCTGTTCTGCTCCCCACTCTGTCTCTGGTGAAGCCTCTCACCGCCCCTGAGCCTCTGGCCTGTATCCCAGTTCTGTGTGCACAAATAAATAACCCTTTAAAAAAAAAAAAAAAGAAATGCTTACATGAGCTCAAACTTCACAATTCTAAAAGTACTTTAACAATCATTAACTCAG